CATAGGAATAGTTGACAATTTTTTATTTAAATACTAACTTGTGCTACACAACCAGAATTAGAATTATTTCTTTTATTGGCTGGGCCACCGATAATTAATATAACAAGTTTACATTTTCCAACTGCAACTATTCTTACATTTTTCAGTTACACTTTAGTTTAGTTTAGCGCAGACAAATATGAAGATTGTTAATCTTAAAACATTAACAATGTAAAAACTGCACTAAATAGGTTTAAATTAAGTATGCAATATTAACTATTTACATAGAGTAAAAAGTTATTAGTAATTAATATTTATATAACGTTTCCAAAAACTGTTTCAAAATATTTTGATTGCAGCTAAAATCAGAAGATACACTGTCAAGGGTCCTTTAAATTTTAAGATATCTTCTTGTACTTATATAATAGTATTTTGTATTTTATACACATTTGGCGCAAATTAGTTTGACATTAGTAACAGACACAACCATTTACATGTTGACAGGTATTATAAATGAAAGCAAATATTCGTATTCATAGCGATGAGATTATTCAAACAAACGCAACAGTTTGTGAGGTTAAAAACACATTTTAAAGACAAAAACATGTTTTCAATATTATTTAATTTAGTGGCAAATACATACAATTATATGTAAAAACAATATAAACTTATTCTATCTACTCATTAATTAGCTGTTTTATATATACAGAATAGTTTATTCTGACACTAGGACATTAAGCCTTTTAGCTTTTTATCCCTGGCCATTTTGTTTCAACAAACATATGTTTCAATATGCATTCAAATCTGGAAATGTAGTAACGATGTATAAAAATATTAAAGACTACTTTGCACAGAAATCATTGTACCTTGTCTGACAAAAGAAGAAAAGATAATTTTCTCCCTTCTACTTCCTTGCTGTATCTCGCATACATGATAGAGAAATACCGTTTCTTAGACTTAAGAAATGCTCTTCAAACTTAAACTCACAAAATATATGAACAAGTTTTATTCCACATTAAAATTAAAAAAAACAGTTTTCACCAAGAAGACACAAATAATTTATTGAACAACTTAAAGAAGTTAAGTATTTAATTATAAAAATCATTGTCTTAAAAGAAAAGGTAATTATAAAAATAGTCGCAAACGGATTTTATAGCTTAGTAAAAACTTGCTTATTAAATAGCATCTCAGGTGTTCAAAACCAGATTAGTGGAAGATTTTCCTTATACAAAATAAATATTATAATATTACTTGCCATAGCATAAATTGTGACTCTCTTTTGACCTCGGTGACAATATGATATTTTATCAAACAATTCGAAGTGGAATTTAAATAAACACGAAATTTATGACCATGGAGTTTTTTCCCAACAATCATTAAATTCCTAAAAATCCCTTCTAAATAATCGAAGTAATTTAGCGCTACTAACAAGCAGAAATCTACACGCATGAATTGTTCTACTAAAGACAATTAAGAAAAAAAATGTTCACGTGTAAAACGTGACAAGTCAGGTTATGTGGAGGTTATTAGCTTTCATTATAAAGCAGAAAAGAAAATAAATTTCATAATTTATTAATCCAGTTTGTAAAACAAAGAACGGATTTTTTTATGAGTTTAAGATATTATAAAACAATATATAGTTGATTATTGAGAAAAGTATAATTGACACAAAGTAAAAAAAAATATTCACAATATAATATTTAACTAAAGTGAAGTAACAAAAACTAAATAATCACTTTCAGTAAAAATGAGCGCATGTTTTTACTTTTATATAAACAAATACTTTGGCTACATATCAATAACCAAAAATATTTTGTTTACGGAAGCTGTAAAAAAATAACAAGCAAAGCAAACATACAAGTTTAACAAGTTAAAGTGTTTTCCCGAACTAATATTCTCTGTGTTTGAAGTACCAAAGCATCTGTCACAAAATATATTTTTCAAACGCAAAGAAATTACACATTTTGGTTGTAGTTTATAAAATAAAAAAATCTAATACGAATGTCTTAAATAAAATAGATTGAGAGCTAGCTAATAGTTATGATAATAGCATTCAAGTTATCTGTAATCGAATCATAATTTCTAAACATGCTTCCTTTGTGAAGCTACGGTACCGTTAAAGAGATTGGAACTCTAAAAGGGAGATACATACATATTAAAGCTATGTACATATATAAAATCCTCATTCAACTTTACCGTATTCCAGTAATAAAAGGAAAGGAAGTAATATTAACCCTCGTGTGAGTGCGCCCAGAGTTTTGTAAAGGCCTTAAGGCAATACTGGCATAAAATAGAATTTTCCGTCCCATGAGTCTACAAAGAAATAGCTTCTCGAGGCTTTTTAAATACTTTATTTGATTTTCTTTTACTTGACTTTAATGTAAAATAAAATAAGATAAACCGTATTTCATAGGATAATTAAGTAACTACCACACAAGCTGACATTGGAACTGAGTGGAAATTTTTGTTTCTTTCTTTACTCAAAAATATTTAATGTATTTTTATTACATCTTATATTGAAAGTTTTTGAAAAGTAAAATATCGTACATAATGAATCAAGTAAGTTTAAGATGGCGGGATATTCAGAAGGAAGTAAAATCTAAAAGCAATATCGCAGTCTAGTAACAAAGTTTTATATTCATGATATAATAAAGTTATAATTAATGTAGCTGATATTATTATACAATTAAACTTTTCATCGAATGAATTAGAAAAAATTGTGATAATATAAAACAAGACTTAAAAATAAAGGAAGAATGTGACGTAAACTTTTCACACAATATGATACTGTTAAGGCGCAACAAGTTGTAGAGTGCAGTTGTTTAACTGAATACAAACTGTATAACATATATATATATATATATTAAATATTTTAACAATAATTGAGAGATAGAAATACCAGAAGTTACATATCAATTTGGTCACTTTTATATATACGACAAGATTATATTTCACCAGCTACGTAGCTTCATCCATAGCTCATTAAAATGACTTTAAAATTCATGATTACGTTTTCATTATTGAAGCAATAATGAGCTAATACTTAAACTTCATTCTAATGTTAACAACAATAATATAAATGAAACTACTTAATATTTTCGGATTTACTACGCGTTTTTTATTTTTACAGCAACCGTGATCACGGGCAGATGAGATGTGAGTGTCCACTTACATGATGCCGAAATGTCGGGAGTATGTAGTTTATAGTCAAAAACAAAAAACGCGTAGTAAATCCGAAAATATTAGTTTCGTTTAAATGAGTAATCACGAAAATCTAAAAAAAACAATAATATAAATTCCGAGTCTCTTTACCTATTTATAAAATGATAAAATTCGTTCCTAAGACTTTAAAATATTAAAAAATGAGAATTACATAAGACTTTCTAGTTTTAGACCAGTAGCTATGAGGGTAAAAATTGCACTAAAGTGAAAACTTTTTATAAAAAAACAAAAGATTTTTTAATAAGTCTTTTGGTTATAATAATAAAATAAGTTAAATCTTATCTATCTTATATTAAAAATAAGTTAAATATTCTTAATTCTTTTACAAGGAAACTTTAATGTTAGTTTTTTTTTTATAACAATTTACTAAAAACGATAGAGGTAATGGAAAATGTTAAATGGGATTGTTTAGATATTAGTTTAAAACTACTGTAACTGTTAGGTCACAATGCAATTTGTGTGAGAACTCGAACTTCCAGTTCCTGCCAGCGAAATAATTAATTTACCAACGAAGTCAATCTTGTTAATAAATTACTGCAGGCACTTACGATTTTCACATAAATAGTTCTTTGTATAAATTGTTTTTGAATGTATCATATAATTGTAATGATATTACAGAATTATTTTAAATAGGTATCTCCATTTTATTTCAAATTTAAGCAATATCAAAGCTCATTGTATTTGTCGTTGTTTAATACAAATTCTATACTTCATGAGCTATTTTTATTCTCGTAAGGTTAAACAATATTTTTACGCTATGGTGTAAACAATATTTACGCTAAGGTAATGTAATAATATTTACGCTAAGGTGTAAACAATATTTTTCACTGCTGTCTTATATTGAGTAACACTACTACTTGAATCAAGCATAGTCAGTATTTAATTTAATATAATATATAATTTAAATGTTAATTATGTTTATATGTAAAAAATAATTTTCAAAAGGTCTTTTCTAAGGTAAATAATAATTTATTTCCCCTTCGGAAACTATTTTTGCTTTGACGGTTACCGTTGTTATTAATTAAAAAAATATGAGATATATTTCTTTAATAGACTCTTTAAGGATGAATAAAATAATAAACAATTATATTTTCAGACGTAAACAAATTTGCTAAAAAAAATAATTTCTATGTAACGTTTCATAGCCAACAATAGGATTACACTATTATTTAAATAGTTTGAAAATTTTATATAATATACTACAGGCATATTGTGCGGAAATAAAAGTAAATGATAAAAATATCATGTCATGTGATGACACCTATCAGAGCCTTCTGCTGAGCAAAGGCCTCTTCTTACATGGAGAGGTTTGAGCACTAATTACCACGCTTGCTTAAGACAGGTTGGCGATTTCAAACTTATGATTGTGAAATTATAAGTTCAGGTTCCTTCAAAATGTTTTCCTTCACCGTCTGTCGTTGATAATAATATCACTAGGATTATATTAACACACCGATATTTTTACCCCCTCATTGAATATAGAGATATGTCATAGATAGAATAATATATTGTCTCATAGGGATTCATAAATAAAAATATATTCTTTTTGCTACTGAGGAAAGGTAACCTGACATAATGCTATATAACTATATATTATGTTGGCTAAGATGAATCAATAGTCTTTTTTTTTTAGTCTCTTGTAACCAAATCCTTTACAAAATTGACAAAAATTATACGAGCTTGCTATCTTAAATCATATGCATGGCAGTAAGTCTGATATATTTAAAACGTTTGCAGTTTAAAAGGTTAAAAAGTAATTCAAATAAAGAAAACGTGAATTAAAGTACAGTATTTATTTTCTACAACACCGGTGAGTGATCATGCTTCGGAATAACCACTTTCTTCTCTGTATCTACTGGTCTGGTCTTGAGTGGTCCATGTTTCCAATTCTCTGGGTACCCATGTTTCTCCACATCATCCCACCACTGTTGCTCACCAGAACCCCATATTAGATATAAAATATTAGTACCAATTAGTACTACAAAAATTGTCCAGAACGCTAATCGCCATTGTTGGAGTGTTTGCTGAAACACATACATATTTTTAATAATATAAGTTTATTTTTAATGTTCTAAACCGATGCTTAGATATTTATATTACCGAGTTATTCGATGATGTTAAATTATAAATATAGTTATGTGAATAAATATGGCATATAAAAATATCTTATTTAAGTTTCATAGATATAATACAATACAATCCAAATACAATACAAACACAATACAAATTGAATTTTGCGTTTTATAATATTATAAATTTGTGAGCACGTAAAGCCTTTGAATATAGGAAATGAATTTTTTTTATTTAATTTAATTTCACCTTTGAGCAAAGGCGTTCAACCATCTTATTTGAAACGCTCAATGAATCTTAACAAAAGTCTTTGTTTTTGTAGGTTGTTTTTGTATTTCAGTTTTTCAAAGGTAAGCCTTCGCGTATCTTAAATGCAAATAAGGTAGTGATGGCCTTTTTGAATGAAAAGAAAAAGTGCTTTCGTTCGTCTTCCTATAATAAAAAAGACAAAAGCGCGATGTTGATGTGACTTAAACATACCAAAAGTAATTAGAAATATGTATGTTAGAAACTTATAACTATCGTTAATAGTGTAATATTGAATTTAAGCTCACTTAAATTAAAACATTCAATTTTAATATTAATTACATAATGCATTGAAATTTGTCCTGTTTTATGAGTTACATCAAAATTTGCATCAACTTAAGTATCGTCAGCATATACTAGCGTAAAACTATATTACTATGTATAATGTATATTAGTAATACAGTTTTACAATTCAATAATACTAATAGACGACTTACATCGGGTGTCAAAAGACCAACCAAATATGGCGTTATAATTCCAGATACCGCAGCTAATCCGTTTACAAAGGCAGAACATGTACCAGCGTAGTTGGGAGCGATGTCCATGGCATTGATCTTTACGCTGCTATAGAAACCCGCCATAAAGGCCATAGATGCCACGAAATATCCCACCGCTTGTGTGCGGTCGCAGCCCGAGTACGAAGCCAGAATAATAAAAATAGCGGGTGTCGTTGAAGCTGAGGAAAAAATATTCTTCCGTCAAATAAATTCAAGAACATACTGTGGTAATGAACCTGCTTTTAAATTGTACAAAAAAATAGATTTGTCATATTATATACAACAGCCTACATACTGTATAGATGCGAATGAAATCTTGATACTCACATAGGGTTGTATAAATTTTTCTTCCAGTTGTAATGCTGTGCCATTTCTTTTTGATGCAAAGATCACAAAATGAAGCAAAAATGAAAGAGCAAATGTACATAGCAATGTATGGAAGTGCAGACATGAGTCCTGTGTCCTTGATGTTAAATTTCAATACATCGGAGAAATATTTCGGTAGATCCGTTATCATAGTGAAGTAACCCCAGTCATGGCCGACCTGTAATTTACTTTTGCTTATAATTCTAATTAACATATAATCCTCAATGTGAACTTGGAAAGAGTTAAATATAATTTTAATAAACAAAATAAGACATATATGTATACTTAAGTCAGTGGTGGCCTAATGGTCAAAAGGTCCCCCTCTCATTCATGAGGGCGCGAGTTCGATCCTGGCAAGTACCAATGTGATTTTTCCGAGTCATATGTACTTTCTAAGAGTATTTAGACATCACTGATTAGTGCATTCCCAAAAGAGGGTTGATGTCAGGCAGGCGGCCGGTCGTAAAAACAATTAGCCAAAAACTATTCACAACATGTAAGGCAGACCCTGGCTAAAGCTGGGAAATTGCCAGGTAGAAGAAGATATGCATACTTACAGCAGCCGCTACTAAAACCCATAGTTCTACAGATCGAAGCAGGGCTTTAAACGGAACTGGTGGTAATTTTTTGTGTAAACCAGAAGCAACGATATTAGCATTTAGATAATTTCGTTCTTCATCCGATATGAATGGGTGGCTATTGGGTGTACTATAGCAGAGTAAGGTCTAAAATTCAGTTTAAAAAATTAAATCATAGTATAACTACAAGTAAAGAGAATATGTAAAAGGATATCTCGGAACTAACAAAGATACTTACGAAAAAGATAAACCATATAATACCGAACCCTCCAAACACATAAAATACATTTGCCCAATCTCCACCATCCGCAAGGAGTAATCCTGAGATGTATGGGCCAGCGATATTGCCTATTTGAGCCCCACCGAATATCATAGCACCGAATCGTGATCGTTCTGATGGCGGTACCCAACGAGCCATTAAAAGGACAAACGCTGGAGTAACGGGCCCCTGAAAGGAATAAAATTTAGAGTAATAAGGTTTACAATTGTTTACTTTTCTTAAACAAAAACAATATTTATATAAGTCTAATAATAATTTTTATGATGTTAAATTTCTACTCCTACCAAATTTTATTAACATGTCACTAAACTTAAAATGATTTTGATAGTGTCGAAGAATAAAAATACAAAGTGTATTGAAATTTTACAACGATTGATTCATTAAATAAAAACTTAACAAACATTTTTTCAAACTAAGAAATTTTAAATCATTTTAATAATTTTAGCCTTTTACTCAAAAAAGAACGTGTTTTGAAATTTTAATAAGTAATTTATGTAGATTCTGAGAGGTGTTAAATAAATTACCTCACCAAGCCCTTCGACTACTCTAATTATAAAAAGTCCCACAGCTCCCCACATGCTAACAACCCATGGGGTTAAGACAGTGGCCACTGAAGTGCTAAGTAAGCTCAGTCCAAGGGTCCATTTTCCACCAAATTTCTCAGCTAAGAGGCCACCAGGTAAATGAGTCAGAACATAACCATAGTAAAACGCACTGAGCAGTAATCCCTGAGTTTTCTCATCCCAGTCATATTTCTGACGAGCCTGTAAGTTGAATAACCCATAAAGAAATTATCGGTGACGTAAAAGTGATTATAGTGTAACTTATTCCTATTTAAATTTTAAATTGTTTCGCTTTATCTATTAAACACAAGGTAAAACTAAAAATATGTAACATGTCAAAACATTTATTATATGTATTCTTGTTACATACAGGTTTGTTTTATAGATTAAATCAGACCTAGTAGATATTATGATTTAATATATAATTATCATTCAGAATCATAAAAATCTAACATTTTACCTTGCTAATAACTTTTTACTTTACTTATAACTTTTTACCTTGAAAATACAATGACTGAACTTGAGTACGTTTTATTACCATAATATTTTTATGTCTTCCTTTAATTTAATCCTTTAAGCAATAAATTTCTTAGAAAAGTTAGCTTTATTTCATAAGATTAGTTTAATCTTATCCATGTTATACATTTAGTAATGTATATTCAGAATAATGAAGATGCCATACTATCTAATATTTAAAAGTATGTTTAAAATAATTATAAAAAAAATACTTTAATCCTTGTAAACTAAAATATAAAAGACCTTGAGATAAAAAACAGGATAACAAAAGTAAATATAAAATACAACAGAACATTACTACGCGACCTCTGATAATTTTCTATATAATTCCTTCTACCTTATATCAATAACGAATTACTTAGTAGTGAAAACATTATACTATTAAACATTACAAAGCCCAAAAAATCTGTTTTAGAGTTTGTTTTCTTATAGCATGAATTTCTTACCGTTTCAATCACAGCGTTGACAGTTTTGTTGATTGAGACGTCTGATATCGCAAGTGAAGGATCGGGACAAGTTTCCCCTTGAATGTGTTCGGTGGGAGGCACGTGGGTAACCATAGTAACGATTGTTATGCTCAAACAAACCCGCATCGTGAATGAATTCGCCAAAGCGAAGAGACCCATGATTCCGAACACATAACGCTGTGGTATAAATATTGCTGAAAAACAAAATCATCGGCTAAGATTGTACATATATTGTTTCCTATAGTTTTTGTTATGGATTGATTCTTACTTAGTATAAATCGGATTTCTTGAGCTCATATCCTATATTTAAACAAAATATGCATAATTTAATAACATACCCCTGTTTAGGATCAGCCTCCATCCTTTGAGCGCCATTTCTATGTTATAAAAGCAGAACAATACCTACTACGATACCACCTATTCACTGTTTGGTGACACTTGCGTCAAAAAGTTATATCACCATTCTCAAAATTCCTTAGCTGATGCGCATTGAAGTGTAAGACACAACAAGATGACATTATCAGAGATAAGATCGCAATATTTCTTGCGATTGTGACATAGGATCAGATATACAACTCTTAGATTATTTACTTCGCAAAGTCATTTTTAACTAAAGATAAATTTGATGATAACTTCTGCTTTAAACTATTCACAAACATATACAATCCAATATAATAAAAATATATCCGAGTGTTTTGTACTTGGTGAAAAAACAAGTACGTATGGAATGAAAATACCTAAATTTTTTCCAAGTTCAATTTAATTATTTTTGTTATCTTCATAGATAAATATTAAACAGGTATGCTTGATCAAAAAGACGGCTAGTATGAGCATTGCTTTTACTTTAAATATTTTAAGTACTTTCTATTCCCATTCAAATAAAGAATTATAGACGAAGTAGAAATTATATTTTAAGACGGATTCATTAGTTAAGCAATCAGTAACAAAAAAGTGATATAAATAGCCTTTTGAATTAATTGTTTTTATTACTGGACCATAAACAATCAAAGATTAATAAGTATTTATTAATATATTTTTAATAGACGTTGAATAGTATTAGGGTTATGGAAAGTAGGTCATTACTTTATCAAACTGATATCCATTTTGAGCGAATTGTGGTCTCCATCGTATAGTTTTATTTTTATTGATGCTCCCTTAACATAATATACAAACTATATAAAAAATAATGTATGTATTTATAAAAAAAGACAAAATGAATATACAATACAGAGTCAACAACAGACAGACTTAATAGCAATGAATGTATCTTTTTAAAAAGCATTGTTATTCGTGTTATTTTAATTAAAGAGAATAATCCATATTATCTTCCGTTCTTTAACATTATGAATAATTGCAAAATTCATTTAAAGGCCACATTATAATAAACTCAATTTTTAATTTTAACAAGTTTACGTCCTTGAGCTCTTGCAGATTTTTTTTCACGTATTATGAATCCCACTAGCACGTGGGAATTATTGGAACCTAACAAAAGCACTCACAACATATGTCTTTCAATATCAGTAGTGTGATATGATTTTGACAGCGAAGCAAAATGATTAAAATTAAACAATTGTCACATGTACCACGATTCACCTTGTTTCAAAGATGATTTAAACTTAATTATCTTAAAAAAAATCATGAAGGAAAGTAGAAGATTCATGCTTAAGTATTATGCTTCTCTCAGGTCCACTTGTATAAAACAGTTAAATTTATAATAATATGTATAAATTTGTTCAGACATTTGCAATTCTTACTTAATATAAATAAATTTGAGTAGAAAATGGAAAATTAACTAAGATGTGATTTTTGTATTTATATCAATGGGGACGATATACTATTAAAAAAAACATTAAATGTTTAAAATTCGTATAATGATTGCTCAGCTTTCACCCCCATTCAAATATATATTTTTTTGTTTCTTAGTGCTTGGTGCTTAATATTATTTGTGCTAAATCTTAAAAAACCTTTTTAATATGTTATTGAATTTGAATTAGACTAAATATTTAAAAAAAACTGCTTCTTAGCGGGAGAACACGAAAAAACTAGCCAGTGTTCTGGTTCTTTTTACTGATTTTTCAGTCCTTGTAAAGTAAATTAATGAATCAATACTACATATTGCCAAAATATGAGGTTACTTTTCAAATACATATAAGAAATTATTTTTGTGGTGTTTGTCATCAAATAGTTCAAGATATCTCAAGAGCAAGTTGTCAAGCATAAAATAAAAAGTCCAAGTGAAATATTTTTTTAACATTTTATTAAAACATTAATATTAAAATAAATTAATAACTTATGACTAGAATTTATTAATGTTATTTTGCGTCTTTGGTTTTTTCTGTCGTTGATCCTTCTGTGTCATTTTGTCTCACTGGCAGAGGACCGTGTTTCCAATTCTCTGGATAACCGTACCTCTTAACATCGTCCCACCATTGCTGTTCTCCTTTAGCGAACATTAGATAAATAATGTTGGTTATTACCAAAATGGCGAGGCAAACCCAGAATGCGATTCTCCATTCTTTCAAAGTTGACTGTGGATAAAAAAAGATTTTGATCTGTTATATATTCTTCTTTACTATTAACATAAATACAGCATTATTTTGTTTATATTTCTCTGTGACTTTGATTTTATTATCATTATTAACAGTGCTGATTAGTTCTAACATCTTTTCCTCTTGTTTTTCCTCATTGACGTTGTATCTTTTATTTTGTTATGGTTTTATTTGTAAACGTGACATTTAAATAACTAAAGCATCTTATCTATTATTATCTTTTATGATAATTTCATGTAGTAGGTCTTTTAAGAGAAAAGTATTATTATAGTGACAGGCTTTATCGATTTCAAGTACAAAAAAAAACCCGGTATTAGCTTATCAGCATCCCCCTTTAAGAAAACAACTTGGTGGGTTTTAGATAACAAGATTGATTCGTCAAAACAAAAAAGAGATAGTAGTTAATTTAGTTTGTTGAAATTAAGAAAATATGTATAAAAAAATGAACTTCGTTTATAAACTTACATGTGGAGTGAGTAAACCTATCAGGTAAGGTGAAATGATACCAGAAATGGCAGCAATTCCATTAACCATTGCTGTCGTTGTACCAGCGTAATTCGGTGTTATGTCCAATGCGTTTATTTTCATTCCGCTGTAGTAAGCACCCATTAAAGTCATAGCAGCGATAAACCAAAAGACAGCAAGAGTAGTGTCACAACCAGAATACGATGCTAAGATAATGCAGATACCAGGTCCAGTTGCCGCTGTCAATTTAAAATCAATATTTAGACATCGTTGTCACAATATATGTATTAAAAACTTAGAGACTCAAATGAAATACTAATCATGCCTTACCAATTGTAGTGTAAATTTTTCTTGCATTCTGAATACTGTGATACTTTCTCTTGGTGCAGAAGTCGCAGAGCAAACCAAAGAAAAACGAAGCAATCCACATAGCGATGTAAGGCAACGCCGATAGTAATCCAGCTGACTTAATGTTAAATTTAAGGACATCTGTCATGTACTTAGGCAAATCTGTCACCATTGTGAAGTAGCCCCAGTCGTGACCAATCTAAAATTTCATGAATATTATTACGATTTTTAAATATTTACAGATAATTTAGTAACCTATTTTTGTCAATGTTCACGCAAAAGTAGATATTACAATGAATAATATTTTATCAATGTTATACAAAAACCTATTTGTACAAATAAGTATTAAGAAAAAAAAACAAACAGAAAATATTTCAAGAACCTCATACATGCGATTACGTGTTACAATACAATTTAAAGACTTGCTATAATACCGTAAACATTGTATGATAGAAAAAAATATAAAATAGCTCCTAATATACTAATATTATTTAAATTGTAATGTTAACTTACACCAGCAATTATCAAAGACCATAAAGGTACCGATCTGAGTAATGCTTTCCATGGCACTGGATCTAAAATTTGTTTCTCACTATGGATGAGGGCCTGCACATTTTCATTCAAGAATTTTTTCTCTTTATCCGATATAAATGGATGTGTATTGGGTGTGCTATAACAGAGTATTGACTGAAAGGAATAATTTAAATTAGAAACTACAAGGTATTAAAAGAATGTGTTCAAATAGTGTGTAAATTACCCAAAGAGCAAACCACGCCAGTCCAAATCCACCAAACATATAAAATACATTTTCCCAAGAACCTGCATGAATAATCAAACCCGAGAAATAGGATCCAGCAATGTTTCCAATTTGTGCGCCTCCAAAAACAATAGCTCCTATACGAGCCCTTTCAGATTTCGGTGCCCATTTAGATATCATTGCCATAAGTCCTGGCATCGTAGGTCCCTGGAGCAAAAATATATGAAATTGTAGAAAAAAATAAGCATCAGTTACCAAGTAATAAATACATATTATTTGTCTTTTGTATATAATTCGTAAAGTAATCTACCTCTCCAAACCCTTCAACAACACGAAGTATAAACAAGGCAGTTGCTCCACCAGTTTTGACAGCGAAAGGTGTGATGAATGTACAGACAGCAGTGGACAATAGACCTAATCCGAGCACCCATTTACCACCATAACGTTCAGCAATAATACCTCCGGGTATGTGAGTAAGCACATAACCATAGTAAAATGCGCTAAGGACAAGACCTTGCGTTGCTTCGCTCCATTCGAAAAGTACGGTCTGCAACAAACATTGGAAATCTTATGTAATATTTATTATTTAACAACCAAATTATGTTTCATTTAAATAAAGAAAATTGAAAAAAAAGATTTTGTAACTAGATTTCATCTATTTATCAACAAAGCAGTCATAATTAACGTGAAAAACAGGTGTACGGGCACTAAAGTTATGTTAAAGAATATATCATAACATTTAAATACTCGTCCAATTAAACTAACTGTTTACAAGTATTTATGAAGATGTTACATAAATAAAATATTTGTTTAAATTAAATTACTCTGACACGATAAAGCTTCTCCTTAACATAATTATAAACAAAATAATAAAAAATTGTTTGGATTCCTTAATCATTTTTCAAATCATCAAATTACTTAACCTAAATTTTATATAGCAGAAATTTAAAACTTCTTTCAATCGCCTTAGTATTAAAATAAATCAAAATAAAGCTTGGGTTATATCACAGGAAACACTTTAGATAGTTTTATCTCTTATTCTAATAAATTATCTTTAGCCTGGTTGTCGAAGATAAAGTGACAATAGGAAATACGCTATATTATTTATATATATTTTATACATATGTATCAAACTTGCAAAAACAACATTTTAATCATAACATCACTCAAATAGACTAAAGAGCGTACTAACACTTGTAACTAAATATAGACATGAAAACATTATTTGCTAGTAAAAGAGTTAAGAATGTAGTTACATTATTGCTATATATAATATATTTAAAAAAGTTTTGGTCTTATTACAAAAATACGAATGTTATTTACGAAGAAAATTAAATTTTGAAAAGAAGAAAAGATTCTATTTATCGAATTCCACTAACATGTGTAGTAATGGACAAACTGTATCATTTACATATGTATGTGAAATTAAAAGAGAAAAAATACTTTAACAGGAATAACAATGCAAGAAATCATTAATATTCTTCACCCACCCCTGTATCCTGACGAAGATAATGGGACATAGTCAATGTTATGTTAGCCAATGTTTTAGATGCGATGTCTGACCCAACATTTGGATCGGGACATGCGTCGGGATCGTAATTAGGATCACCTTCCACAGCCACCGTCTTTTTAACCATTTGCGTTATGGCCAAATTAAGACATACTCGCATCGTATACGCGTTGGCGACCGCAAGCAAGGCCATTATAGAGAAGACATAACGCTGTGGTATTATAAATACTGAAATGGAACATAAAATAAATTATTATTACCTATTTCTATTGTTCAATTTAATAGTATTTCGATGGTTAGTCAGATGTGCATGGGTAACTGGCAATATATGTATTCAATCGTAAAATTTTATAACTCACTAACACTTTTGTTCAGATATCGGATTTAAGCTATTAAATTTTTAAACCCAACCGGCTTCTTTGTTATTACTATTTTAGTATTAATTTTAATTCAGAACATTTTAAATAGAACAAATTTAAAGTAAACACATTTTGTGAACAAAGTTTTAAAATAACGTTTTTATTCATATTTAGTTGAATTTGGTATAAAATACAACACATGATCAAGTTAATAGCATAAAATTACTCACATTTCGATAGGACGAGCCGCCATCCTGTCAACATCTCGAGTCAGTTTGAAAAAAACTAGAACAAACGAAAATCCTTTAGCATCCAACGTTACGGGCACTTCGTTCTATTTCATTGATGCGACTGTTTGACATAATATTTAGTCAGGAAAAGGTAGTGTTAAAGTCGTTACAACAGCTGTATCCGCGAAATTTAAAATTTCGTCACGCAATAATGACCCATATCGCCTTACAATACGGATGAAATATTCACAACCAGGATGTTATTGTAATATGAAGAATTGTGCTTGTGGTAATCTTTATTGTTATTACCGGAATCTTGGCGGAGAGGTCAATTTTATGTAATTTAAACACGTGCAGCATCTACATAAACGACAGTGTCCTTTTTGGTTATCAGTTTTGCAAGTGCAAGTGCATAATGAATAAATATATATTAATTAAAATATATAAAATTATTAAGGATAATTTTTGCTTTTTTGGAAATTTGGATAGAAAAATTTATTTTATATAATCATAAAATCTTGAGATTTTATAATTATTTTCTATCATGTCACTCAGAAATCATTATCATAAATGAATAAAGATCCCATTAAAATATGTCTAGTTTACAAAAGGTTTTACGTCAATGAATTACGTGTTTTTGTTATAGACAATGATGAATCGTAATTAAAATGAGATTGCAATTGAAATGGTAGATAATTCATAGATTCAACAATGTGTCATTTAAAGGGCCATAATAACTTTCTTGAGCATTGTGTCCAAAATTTACCGTTAACTTATGACCCTGAATAGTAGAAGTAAGTAGACCTTGTATTCCAGAATTCAAAACTCTTTTCCCAATAGTGCCCAGAATATTAATGTCACACGTAATAAAATTACATTCCATAACTTTTAATCTAATAACCTTATGCATTTATTTTTAAATTTCTCAGATTGGGGCCTTCCGCTTGGCCTTGAATGACATAGCAGAAACCATGACAGAGAAATTGTCTTAATTGAATGTACAAGGTAATTAAAGACGACACTAAGCCTAGTTAAGAACAGTAGATTACAAAGAGCAAAACATAATGTTGATGAATATTACAAATTTATTAGCAGGGTCACATAAAGGAAAGATCACAAGGCAACCATAGAATTCAAAAGAATACTAGAATATATGAACTGAGCAAATATTTGTATTTGAATTCAATAGCTGTTGCTTTATAATAATAAACCGGTTTAATATCAATATTTATATATAAACTCATAATACTACGAAAAATTTTATCATCAGCAAATATTTGTTTTCCTTTAGTGTTATTAAAATTTTATGTTAAATAAATAGCTAGAGTTATAAAATAATTTGTTGCAAATTTTATAGTGAAAACTATCTTCTACAGTGTAAGATAACAGTGGAAAAAAATAAACGGGCATTACTTCGTTAGTCATATGCTAATATTTGCTGTAACAAAAGAACCTTATCATTACAGTTATTTGAATAAGGTGTGAACAAAAATGTATGTTTTCGATAACTTTACAAATTCATCAGATTTCCTGTTTTACTCGTCTTATTCACAATGACATTAATTTAAGACAATTTCCGTATTAAAATAATATGATGGTTTCAATTTTATTATTTGTATACACGGGTATTGTGTGCTTAAACATTACTATAGCTGACACCCATTCTTATCGTAACAAATATAATTTTATGGTTTGATACCTTGCTAATATTATAAACGCGAAATAATTCAACGATAGATTAATTAATAGATTTTTCAAACAATTTTACGAGAAATTTACTAAATATTTTTTGACAGTAACTAATATTTAAGAAAACCAACGAATTTTAACGAAACATACTGTGTCGTGTAGTAGCAATTGTATTAAAAAGTAAAAGAAAAATCAAAGCCCGTTAGTATTTAAAACTGACGTGATGTAACTTTTTTTAAGAAATAAAACATCCTTCAAAAATTTAAGAACAGAGAGAGACTCGGTCGTCATTTGGTTTTGTTTGTAAAGTATTTCACTATAATTTATATAGGGAGTAAAAGAATATATTAAATAAAAAAAATCACATCCAAAAATATAAAGAATATTTCTAACTAAAACCTTTTTCATATATTGTATCAAGTCAATTAAACATGCATAAAAAAATTCTTTCATAATATATTAATGTCAAGGACTTTATTTTAAAACGTTTAATCGTATTTTCAAATATTTTATCTGTTTTAATAATGTCGCATAATTTTAAAATATAATTAAATATATGCAAGGAAAAAGAAATGATTAAAAAATATATAAAAATAAATAAAAGCGACAAATAAAATAATAATTAATACGAATACTACATATTATACAACATATTCTGTGATATCGCGAATTAAGTGTAAAAAGGATTTCCTAAGGCAATAAAAATATTACATTAAATATTACGTCAGTAATACTTAAACAAAGTAATACTTAAATACAAATTGTAAGAATGCTTACATTTCTCCTTTAGGTAATACCACTAATAAAACCCACAAGAATAACAAACAAGTACTGCAACTGTATTTAAGAATTCTGTAACATTTCATGTGCTATTATCATTTGACTGACGTTATCAAAACCCACTTGGTGTATCATATACAGGGTGGTTAGATTTGTCCTTTATTCAAAATAATTAAATTGTTTTCCCAAGAAATCCAATGAACTATCTAACTGTATAAGTTTTTAAAACATTTCTTCGTAAAAAATAATGTATTTTGACCTTAATTTTCTTGCAAATTAAGAAATGGCATAGATACTTCGGAAGAAACATTTGGTATATTAATTTGCAACCTTATAAGTACGTAATTTAAGGTTTTATGTTGTATGCTCTATTGTTTTATATCATACCAAATAAATGTTACTGTTGTCACATATAGTAAACATACTATATATACATCTTAAACGTTTAAGGATCAAAGATGAATATGAAAAAACATTTTGTTGATGCACTTAATACTTTGTTTATCTTTTATGGCGCTTAACAGAATTACAAGTATTATGTCAGAGCCTTATGGAGTACTAGGCTTATATTAAATATTTACCTCAAAATACTCGTTTTAACAAATGAATTTAAAATATATGCCCGTACTTCCTCAGTTTCGCAGGTTCAAATTTATTATGAAAAATGGTTTTAAAATGAAACCTTGTCTTTATTTTAAAATAACCATTGTAATAAAGTCAGTGGTGGCTTAGTGGTTAAAGCCCCCTTTCCTTTCCTCTCCTGCACGAGGCCGCGGGTTCGATCCTGGCAAGTACCAATATGATTTTTCCGAGTCATATGTATGTACTTTCTAACAGTATTTAGACACCACTGACAGACGGTGAAGGAAAACATCGTGAGGAAACCTGGACTTATAATTTCATAATTATATATTTGAAATCACCAACCCGTCTTGAGCAAGCCTGGTGATTAATGCTCTAACCTTCTCCATGTGAGAAAGAGGCCTTTGCGCAGCAGTGATAGGCTGATGACAAACTAGTGTATTACTGCTAATTATAACATAAGGATCAATTCTTTATATATCCTCCACAGAACAGTTTGAAAGGAAAGACTGGTTAAATAATGAACACAACAAAAATTTCCAAAACGTATCATATTTTTATAAGCATAATTATGTCTCAGTTTTTATATTTATTTCTATAATTTTATCTCAATCTTAATGTCTGGTCTTAAAATTTAATATTTTACGACAATTTTATACTTTAATTAACACATCAAAGTCGTAAGAATTTACCTACAACTATTTATACACATTTCCTTTTTAAACCTGTTTAACTAGAATTCTCAAGAGTAAATTAGAATACCAACCAGTATCATTTATTAAATCTTTCTCATTTCACATTCTACTTATCTCGTGCCGTACATATTTTATTTGTTATTTTGGTAGTCATCAAATCCTAAGTTACTAGAAATCAATTCATTACATTTTTTCCATAACGTTTTAACGGGGATATCCTAGAAACTCACATGTTAACTAAAAAAAAATGGTTAGTAGGTTTTGTTATTGTAATATAATATTTTAAGATGTAATTAAACTACAATTTTTTATGTGAAAGGGGGTTAAGAGCAACCTTCTCACTCATGGGCTGAAACGCACCCATTAATGACTACTTCACGCCGATCTTCTGTGAGAAGGTGGTACTTCCGGACCGGGGGTCAAACCAAGCCATGTTCGAGCTGTAGTTACTTGACCTCGGGCCCTATCACCTATAGACTAGGCTCTACCACCACTGTCAATTAAATATTTTCGTTATTCTGCTTGCGACAGCTAAATGGCGGGTGAGGTTGAAAGAATTTCAAAGATCACATTAAAGATTGAAAATTCTAATTTTTCACAAGCTACTTCAATAACTGACGAATTTGTTTTATTCATGGTTATACACAATAATTTAATTTAATTTAGTCAGTGGTGGCCTAGTGGTTAAAAGGCCCGCCTTTCATGCACGAGAGCGCGGGTTCGATCCTGGCCCGGGCAAGTACCAATGTGATTTTTCCAAGTCATATATACTTTCTAAGAGTATTTAGACATCACTGATTAATGTTGATTCCCCAAAAAAAGAGGGTTGATGTCAGGCAGGAGGCCGGTCTAAAAACAATTAGCCAAAAGTATTCACAACATGTAAGGCAGACCCTGGCTATAGCTGGGAAATTGCCAGGTAAAAGAAGATACAAAATAATTTAATTTGAGAGGTTTTATTCCAAAAAATGATGCTCATTAAAGCCTAGAGCCATTATACCTGAATATTACTTCTTTAGTTTAATAAAAATTCTCTAATGTTATGTTTTGGACAAAATAGATCATTGGTTTATTTTTTTAAATGTTTCTGTTGAATATTTCTTTCTAAAGATGAAGGGTTATTGAAATAGACACGATCGACCAAGCGCCACATATGTATATTGAGGCGGCACCGTATTAACTCATAACTGGGATAGTAATGTTATCTATGGGCTAAATATTATTATTCCTTTTTTACAATGACTCATTTTGAGTCCAATTTTAGACTTAATAAAAGAAATTATTAATGGTCTTATACTATCCAAAGTAGCTAATGAAATCAAGGTGTTTGTTTCAATAGATGAGAAAATTTCAAGAGCTTAGTTTTTCTTAACTCATTCTAATTCTTCACATCTAAATCTCAACAGTCTTTGAAAGTAAAACTTCTAAGTCGACAAGTCTAGTTGTGCAATGGCTACGATAAAATTCACCATTAATTGAATTAAATCGTACTTGTTACTTTGGTTTAATGTATTCTTTTATTTTTAAGATCCAACCTAAAGTATAATAAATGAAGACAAATATTTCTGAGAACTAACCCGTAAAAATATAGATGTTGTCAGTTTTTAATATTATTTTTTGCCAGTCATTTGTTTGTACAAGACAACTTACGCGCACTATATGCCAAAAATACCTCAAACATTTGAACAGAACAAATCGATTGATTAAATACAGGACATTTTCCTTATATATAATAAATAAATATTATTAATTTTGCATATTTTTCATAAATGTACCTAAATCCTCACTTCGTATTAACTTGGACTCTTTAGTAAAATAGTAGTTTTCATAAGGGTTTTAATATTTTACTTCCTTTCATTCATATTTTTTCAAATTTTTATTATACTGGAATATTAAGAAATATGTTTCAATCCAAAATATAACCAATTAATCATCACTAGTCGATATCAAGAGCCGGTAGTAGGTAGACGCAGTCTTCGTAATTTTTATTGTATCAACTATCAAGCACCTGTCAAGATTATATCGATGTATAAAAATGTTTTAATCAAACTCAAAAGTGTGTCCTCTAAGAGATGTATCTGTAATTTTGCAGATGTTTTCTTGTTCTTGTTATTGAACTTGTTACAATGGCACTTCTGTTTGATTGATTCGTATTTTTGTTATAATATATAATGTTTGAAATAAAACACAATAATATTACGATAATAAGGTTTCTTGTTCGATTAATGCTAGTTACAATAAGATTATCTTACGATTATAATATCAATTAGTTTTATGTTCACAATGTACAATACGTAAGGTTCTTAAAGTTAATCATAGCAGTCCGCCGGGCCGCCGGCCGCAAGGGCACTTTAAGATAACCAGTGAAATGATATTATAAATATTTTTTTTAAAATAATTCGAATAACCACACATTATTTCACATTTTCACTCCAAACACGACTTATATTAAGTATAAAAATACATTTACAACGTTTGTGTAACAGCGACACATGGCTATGTACCCGTGTTTCAACAATTGATAAAACAATTCATCAAAGACTTACAATAGACAGTTGTGGCACTTACAACAACGGATACATTCATACATATTGAAATAGATTTTGATAATAATTAATAAACAAATGTTTATTATGCAATAAGAAAGTATTGAGAACGTCAGGCTCTAAGAATAATTCAATATCGAAATTATATGTATCTAAAATACCTTTTATATCAACAGTGAAATATTTAGTTTTACATATTTTGCGTTAAGATTCATTTAATTATGATTTTTTTTTCTTCGTTTGAATCAATCTAAAATATAACACGACAAACTCTTACATTTAATATTAATAAAATATCAAATTTATTTGATTTGGAAATATAAGTAAATTCCAATGTATTATTATTATTCTTTTCCTGTTTCGACCAGACTATTTTGATAAGATGCCCTTTAAACAAAATAAAACCAGTTTTTTGATGATAGATACTCGCACGAGCACATGACCGAGATATAATATGAAAACCGATGACGTCATGAGTGACGTCATTGAATGATCTTCAAAATAAACATCTAAACAGAAGATCAGTGTATATGTTAACCCGATAACAAATACTATCATTCACAGCTTATCAAAGAAATGATAATCTATTGCGATTTATTTCTTATACTATAAAAAAGAATATATATTCCTCAATCTAATAACATTTTAATTCATGAACCAAGTTTTATACCATAACTATTTTCTCCACAATATAAACATTTAATTTCGTTCGTTTCCTATGATTTCACTGGTGTTATAAAAAGATAGTTTCAATAAGCACTTCTCCTTCGTTAAAGACTGGATCCATTCAGAGATACAAATAAGCAATTCAGTACAATTCTTGTGCACAAATAAATTTACCAGTAAATTATAGTTGTGCTAAATCTAATTAAAAATAATATTAACATACTAGCTTATTAATAAATTCGTTACAAATCTTGTCTACACATTTGCATAGAGTCGAATAACTCACATTCATAAGGCATGTAACGCTGCTTTTACTAAACAACAAAAAATAAACTATTACAAGAATATCTACTCGTATATATTGCTTTTTGTTCAATAATAAAAAAGTAAACTAAATCTAACTTAAAGCAAAAAATATTTCATTGAAATAACTTTAACTGGTTCTACTTCATTATTCTTTTAAAGTAATGACTAAAAGGATATGTTAATATAAAAGTTTTATAACATTTCTCAGCGTCACAAGTTCCGTGTAAACGTTCCTACCTGTCCGTAAAAGAAAATTAGCACTAACAACTGTAATATACTAGCATATAATAAATAAATGTAAACTTACACAGCTCGTATGACTATAAAAATTGACGTAACTAAAATTAATATGTGACTTAATATATTAACCAGAAATATTTCGTTAGAAATGATAACTTCAAAATATTCGTTAACTCTATTTACATGATTTAGTAATATACTAAATTTTATTTATCATGCCCTATACGGAAAGGACGTGGATTTTGTTAAATACCATTTAATATATTAAAATTGTGCTTAAATAAACGTATTTTATCACACACCAGCCTATTGCGAATACTTAGATATACATACATAGATGCTTAAACACAAAACACATGACTACAATATTACAGAAATGTCAGCGTTCTTTAGGATTTATTTTTTGTGCTTCGATCGTGTTTATATTAGTTGTGCTTGGTATTTTAACAAAAATGAATTTCGATCATTTCAAACCACCAAGTCCTTTCCGCAAAAGTCTGTCAAAAGAAAATATTTATATAAATACAACTTACGAATCATATCAAGTTATAATTTACAGAGTATATACAATGAATTATCATTAAACGCGTTCAAGTACAAAGTACCCAATACGCTGTTAATTTATCACAATTAGGGGTTGGTAAGCCTTAGGTTTCATTTACAAGCACTAACATTTAAAAGGTGTACAAAATTACAAGAAAAAACTAGTGCTTCTAATTGAAAACTATCCACCTCACACGAATACACAAAAGTAGAAATTAGTGTCTATAAGTTGATAAATGATAAATGATAAAACATTGTGTCCTTATTTGACTCGGCCCGTATTTGAAAAAAGCCGGTAATAATATCCCAAAGTCGATCATTCAAACGTGAGGAGCCATGGTTTGAGCGCAATAATACTGACGTCACATGATAAAAATGGCAGTGCTATACACAATCAGTTTTGCCCTCCGCTACACGTATTTGGCAAAATAATTTTGACACATTCATAGTCCGATTACATATTAAAAATAATTTTGCGACAACAATCATCATCAAATGAAATTTGGAAGACAAAACTGATCATATTCGAGGACGCTTCACTCCGCTCGCGCGACGGTAACCCGTCTGCTTTTCACCAGAGTGCAAAACAGTCGGTAAATGCAACGAATGCACCAATAGGATTACGTCATTTTAAAAAACGAACGCACCAATAGGATTACGTCATTTTGAAAATATGTCATGTGCTATATTAGTGTGATCTTCGTAGTCGACAAATCCTCTGGGTGGCTTCGTCACACACAGTCTCGTCAACTCTCACGTATTCTCTACACACGCTAGGGTGCTGCGCGGGGCAGGGCGCGGGGCGGGGGGGCGGCGGGGGCGGGGGCGCCCGGGCCGCGCGCCGTCATACCCCGTCCAGCTGACGCACGCGGACGTCCTGTGACGCGCACATATCCGGAGCGAAAGGCAGGCACGTGAAGTACGCACATACCGCGCACTCATATGCCGGGGCCGCGTAGAACAACGCTATTAGCGCACATAGCATAGCACCCGCTGATACCATACACACCCACACCAATACAATTTTCCGCCGTCTCTCGTACGGTCCGAATGTTATGAAGGGCAGCAGCGCGTATGAAAGCAAAAAACCAAAGACAAAACCGAACACATGGGCGAAGTTGTCTATCCAAGGCAGAAGGCCGAGGAGGAAAAGTGCTAACGCAAGTCCTATAAGCTTGAGAAGAGCTCGACGGGGATGCCTTAACAGCGGCCACGCGCCTATCACTTCCACTATTAAACACGCGAGTAGACCAAAATGTGAGCCCGCCGGACCAACCTGAAAACAAAAACAGTTCATTGGATTAAAAATTATGTAACTAAAACTACTTTAAAAACATTTGGTTTAATTTCAAACGTCTCAAAACCTTATCCAACTGTTAAGTTTTCGAACTAAATATAATATTTTAATATCGAACTATTTAGGTCATTCACCTCTGCTCTATACGGTTCAAAAATAGCTGAAGCCATATTTCCTGCCACACCACTGCCGAGATATATGACCGCCATTCTGACAGGTCCAGCCATCTTTTCCAAATCTCTCATGAACAGCCATTGGAGTGCTAACGAGGCCGCCAAGTGTAATAGTCCCGCATGCACGAACAGTGAAGTCCAGGCTCTATATAACTGATCTGGACGTCTTCGTCGCATGAATGGCAGCATCCCACACACGTCGTCCAAACATGATACCTGCAAAAACAATTCATAATCTTTATATATATAATTCTTCTGTGAGTCTGTATATCACTGAACTTCTCTCAAACGAGTGGACCGATTTTGATGAAATTTTTTGTGTGTGTTCAAGGGGATCTGGGAATGATTTAGATTCACAATTTTGTAAGCTGGAAAATGTTTTTTTAATTAATTTTTAATTTATTAGTAGTTGTTGATACAAACGTTTTTTTTACATTAGATTTGACAACTAACTAATATGTCAATCATTCTGTCGCACTTCAAAACACGGAGATTTTTGGCTTTAATAGGTAAACTCCAAAAATATAAATAAAAAAACGTAACAGATATTTCTTGATTATAGGGCGATACGAAGTTCGCCGGGTGTTTTAGTATACATATAATAAACTACAGGATACAAGTATGTCGAATATCCACTCCTCCTGATTCCTGATTAACTATCTGGTTGAACCAAATATAAAAGACCGGCCTGTAGCAAAGCGTATTACTACAAAATTTGTGGAATAACAGTTAAGTTGATTGTTAATTGCATCTCTCTGAGATTAAGACCCAGTTTCACCAATCATTGTTAAATAAGTAACATCTTGCTAAGGCGTTTGATGCTCTGTTGGATGCATCGAGCGTTCCTCCACGCACAAATGTCCGTTTAAATGTCTTAACAAGCCACTAATATTAATTCCTGCTCTGGAGCTCCGTCTAATGGCTAACAGAATTTTAATGGCATTGTCAAAACTCAATTGTCCAATCACAGCCCTGATTTCTTGTAACCATAGTAACGTCATCTGTTTTGTCAGTTTCGACTATTTCCTTGTACTTATTAATAAAGTAAATTATTCTTTCATTTCCTATGATGATTTTGCCTCCAGCTTTTTTATGACATTGCAAATTAAGTTTTCTTTTTATTTCTTATAATTTGAACATAATTTATGTTTATATTTATAACACAATAATACATAACACAATTTATTGACAACACGATTTTGACAAGTTACACCTAGTAAATTTAAAAATTTGTGTGCAAAATGTATGCAACCAAAGATATATAAAATTTGGGCGCATTACCTAATAAGTGACGTATCAAGGGATATATACGATCAAAGTATAAAGTGGTGTATCGTGGCAAACGTGCCGTATTAAATGCTATAGTTTCCATTAGGTCGTCTTATAACATGAACGAATAATTTGGTAGTCGGTCATTTGACATGACGTTTAATAATACGTTTTTAATTTGTCATCGTGGGACGTAAATATTCTAACAGACATTTATAATTTTGTTGGTTTTTTAATAAATGCTGTGTTTAGATTAAACAAACATTGATTGGTGAAATTGGGTGTTAGATTATAAAACGATTCAAGAGTGGAAGAATAAGATAAAAAAATTGTCTTTAGGAACTCTAAATTGTAAAATAATTATAATTATAATTATCATCATCATCATCATCATCATCAGCCGAAAAACGTCCACTGCAGGACGAAGGCCTAAAATAATTATAAAACATGTTATTTTTTTTATTTGGACCTTATTTAAATTCTTATGCAAAAAAAAGTATATTCTTCTACGCTCAAAGTTCACTATTAATAAAATTTTAGGTATGGATTTGCTTTACATAAAGATAACAAATAAAAAAATTAAAAAAATATATCGTCACTAAATCCATCAATAGCATTTTCTCAATAGATTTACTTCAATACTAATTTATCACATATAATCAACGAAAACTCACTTGTGAACACAAAGAAGCTTCTTCATGGAAGTAGCCTTTAACAAAATCGCAATGCTCCCTCGTAGTGATGACGCATTGTCCGTGTACTCCTATACAACACGGATGACCTATGACCTCACAAGCCATGTGCTCCGCCGCGTGACCCGCACGACCTGCAGCAGCTGACCCATCAATGACTGACTTCCTGCATATTGGCCATTTCGTTATATCGTCCGGCCATTCGTGTGGGGCGATGGAACGGGGCGCTTCGCAGAATCTGGAATATTGGTTTTTGTTTTTAAAAAAATGTCTATAGGTAGGTAGGTAGGTAGGTAGGTAGGTAGGTAGGTAGGTAGGTAGGTAGGTAGTAAGTAGGTAGGTAAGTAAGTAGTGCCCTAAAGCTTGTAATTTTTTTGGTTTTATTATATATAAGATTTACAACACACGAGGAGTTGGGGTGAGAAACATACAATGGAAAACTTGAACTTTTTCTTCATTTTTCATTAAATTACAAGAGACATGGCTTTCCATTATAACTTTTATATTTTTTTATGTCAATTTTATAAAATATGACATAGTGACTCCCGTTTAATTTAAATGCTAAAATGCTGGATCCCTAATAAAGATTCTTGGAAATAGTACCTTGCTGAACAAGTAAAGATACTTCTACCAATTTTTATATTGTCCGTCAAATAAAACATACACATATCAAATGAAAAAGATCATAATATATAACCCATCAAACGGTGTTGAAAAAATGTGTGGGGTTCAAATCCAAACATTGTTCATAGACTATTAAATGTTTTATTAATTTGCAAACAAAGATACCTTTACCAAGTCCTATATTATCTCGTCAAAGAAAACATACACATAACAAATGAAAAACATCATAATATATAATCCATCAAACAGTGTTGAAAGAATTTGGTGGGTTTAAAACCAAATATCTTAATAAACTATTAAATCCTACCAATATTATAATTGCGAAAGTTTATGAGTGTGTGTGTATGTTTGTTACTTCTTCACGCTCAAACCGCTGACCCGATTTTGATAAAATTTTGTATACAGGAAGCTGACGTCCATGAATAACACATAGGCTACTTTACATCCTGGAAATCCGCGGGTAAAACCGCGGGCCGCAGCTAGTATTTTAAATTACTCACTTTGGATCCAAACCGCATACCGATCCTGATATTCTACCTCCAGGACCTGATTCGCCAGATGACCATTTCTTCCACGTCGATATTGTATTCTGCACGATAAACAATAAGTTTAAAAATTTTAATGGCGTGTTGGTAAGGGAAATTAAATTTAACTCAAAGCTTACCTTTGACACCAATCCTCTAATCTAAAGGTTGCGTGTAAAAATGTTCAACGTTGTTATATCAAAGTTTAAAAAATATACATGGATAAATCTAAGTCGAACCATAACATGTATGAAACAACATATAAGTATTAATAAAACCATGTTAACATAGAGCGTAAATAAAAGAAGATTTAAGATTATATAACAAAGATATGGAAAACATCATTGTAATAAGAGGAACTCACAGAACAATCTGCTTTAGAAGACTGCACGCATCCAGAGTCGTCGTTTCTTATACAGCAAGCCGTGTCTCTTTCCCTTCGAGCTGATGCAGCTATAGCGCGCGCTATCCTCACATCTCTTCTCATGCATGGTGCGAACTTTGCTCCTAAATGTATAAGATCTGCTGCTCGAGGACCCAGCCAGAAAGACGCAGGTTCCTCCCATTCCACCTGGTTAAAACATTCTGATATCAATCCCATACTTATAATCATTTAATTCATTTAAAGAATATTCCTTTCCTATTATACATTGTAAATATATATTGATGCCATTAAAATACAATTTTGTTCCACAATTAAAAATAAATCTTTAATAATAAATAGAACAGAAATTAACACATCGCTCGGGTTACAGAACTTGGTAACAAAGGGCCTCAACGACCTAGATCTTCTAACACAATTACTATATTGACCTACAAATGGCTTTGTATTCATAAATAGTTTACATGTAGAATCGTACCTTATACCATTTAGTATCACCTAACAGAATATACAAATGATCATTTACGTAACAATGGAGGTGAGAATACAGAGCAATTATACAAGTCATATCTAAAATACAATAAGCCTGCCAATACCAAATACCCTACCCTAGAAGGACGAACATATTTACACTTTACAGTATAATATTATAGTTCAGGTAAACTAATTATTTACCAGCTCAAGACCGTTCTATTCCTAGGTGACTGAACGTAAAACTTTGCCTCCGTATAGTTGAAACAGAATACACGGTAAAGCTTTTAGTCAAAATTGTAGCAGACGGAAGAAATGTATGTCTTAACGAGAATAAACCCTACTTGAACATAAAATTGTTTTTTTTTTTTCGTATATATAACTGTTATTTCACAAGAAAAGCATCCATTTTTAAATTAAAATAGTTTCGATATAAGTACCTTAGCGTGTTAAGTTTAACCTTAACCTTTTGACGTATTTCAGTCATTTTATTTTTATACAACGAAAATATTGCTAGACGACACAATTAATTTTAATAAATACTATAATACACTAACTGCTCTTCTAATACGCGGGTAATCTTCAAGTCAGTGAGTAATAACAATTGTAGCATACGTTCATATAATTTGAATTAATTCCCGGAAATGTCGGTCCCTTTGTAACTTACTCGTAAATAATAATAATAATTTACGTAGTAAATTAAACACGCTTCCCCGCCTTTAGACTTTTACATAATAACTTTGGTAACAAAAATGTATTTTAATTTATTAGAGGAAATTAGTTTGTTTTATTGTATTTTTGTTTTGTTATTAGATTATTAAATGTAAATTATTACTGTCTAGAAATAATGTATTGGCTGCGGATAGAATGAGATTTTTTATTGATTTAATTATTAACTAGCTTTCCGCCCGTAGCTTCGCCCGCGTGGAGTTCGGTTATATCGTGTTTCCTAAAGAACCTTTCAAAAGTCTGGGATAAAAACTATCCTGTTCTTTTTCAAGGTCAACTCAGTTCAGTGGTTTAGGCGTGAAAGCGTACAAGACAGACAAACAGACAGACAGAGTTACTTTCCCATTTATAATATTAGTATGGATTTTTGATACACCAAACGCAGACTTTACATTCATATAATTTATTTTATATTTTGTTTTAAACAAAAAATATGAAATCAATCAATTTTATTGAACAATTCAAATCTTGGGTTCGATGTCAGGGATAAAATTCATTGTGTAAGTTATCAAAAAATAATAAGACCATAATTATATTAGTTCATCTACATATATCTTTATAAAATATAAAAACCAAAAAACAGATATTATATGTAGGACTTGGCGTCGCTCGTTATTAGATGGTTTTTGCAAGTTCGCTTTTCTGCAACCCGCGTATAAGAACATCGATCCGTTATAGAAAAGGGCAGGATTGATAAAAAATTTAATTGTAGTCTCAACGCTTTTTGCAACAAAATGATGTATATCATAATATTTTAACTTAGAAATTTGTGTCATTTCTTTCATTTATTTATTGCTTTAAAAATACCATCGGCATATTCACAAATCATATCTGGGAAAAATATATAAAAAAGAAAACTTGTACAGTGGGATACACCATTACAGGTATTTACATTTTACAACTTACATGTTAACAAAGGTAACTAAACACTACACTCAAAACATTTAATAGAATCTGTGAGAATCTATTTTAACATCCACTATCAACGTTAAAAAATTAATACAATAATTCTAAAGTCATAATAAATTACGTCATCAAATAAATGACCTACCTGTTGTAAACTTAAACTCTTCACCAGCACTTGCCCTGAATGCGTGTGTCTTCCAAAACCGACTGGTCCGAAGCCATAACAGAGTAATGATAACAACAGCACCAATGTTTGTACCGTGCTGACCCACCAAGTGAAGTAAGGCCTGTAATCTGTCAATTCATCCAACTGTCTAGCCACATCTTCTTGATGCGTCACTGATTTTCGTAATGATCTCCTGAAACATACGTTAGTATTTCATATTAAACTGGTATCATAATACTTCAAACGGTATTGTTATGATTGTAAAACAAAACTTATAACTTAGATCATATTCTTTATTTTATATGATCTATAAATGTTATTCTTAATAATAAAATGATTTATTCTTCATTTAATCTTTCTGAAATTTCTTTTTAATTTCAATCACTATGATTTTTTTCTTAAAATAACTTTTTCATTCATCAAAATTTACGATTTCTGTTTTTAAAACTTTGTTATATGTAAACGAAAAATTAAATACCCTTTATTGAATGAAACAATCGTTGTTTAATCTTATTCTTTTCTAAACACAAAATTAGGTACTAATAGAAATACTTATTAAATGTTGATGTTGAATTTATTCCAATTAAACTAACAAATTTAAATGTAGCTATATTTAAAATAAGTAAACAAAGCTATTATTAAAATTCTGAATATTAATAGAACATTAATAGACATAACTTAAACTATTGTATAAAGAAAATTATTAGACAAATACAAAATTTTGTAGGACAGTATTAAAATATCTCTCTTTACTATACCAATTTTATTGACACAAATTCTGTGTATAAGCTACAGCTTACAAATTAATGTGTAATCGAATAACGGATTAGACCGTTTAAATAACTCATTTTATCTACGAAATTATATATATATATATACATATATATATATATGGAATATTAAGGGAAAGTGGTCGTTATATGAAGAATACCGATATATTTCATAATGAAATGTCAGTTGTGGGCGATACTATTATTTTCTATTTATAGATATATCAAACTCAATAAACAATCAAAGCATTTAGTCCACAAAAATATGAGGAAAATCTGAAAACTAGCACACGATTTGAATAAAAAAATATTTATTGGTAAAAGGTGTATATATGGAAATATCGATTAACAATTTTATTACACTTTAAAGCTTTTAACGTTAAATTCAGTTTGTACCGAAAATAAAAAGCTAAAATCGGTAAATAACATTGTCATAAATAATACCGAGTGCCATGTCCACGAGGTATTAATTTAAAAACCCATTACAGCAAGTTAAAACGCGAGTCTCCGGTAAGTAAAGTAATATATAGAGGACGCAGGTGAATTACGGTAGGATCAAAGTAATCCCTTTTATATATTAATTTATTTTTATTATTATCCTTAGGTAGCGCGTGCTAAGTCCTCTTAAGTACGCATTTTATATCATACTATAAATATATCAGAAAAGGAAAATGTAATAATCAAATTGAACCCTAAGCAAATCTTACTTCGAAACTTATGATTTTGTTTCATTTCTATTAGTATTTTAAATACAATTTCAAAATCAACCTACGATTTTCATTTTAGAACTACAAAATACTTATAAAACAAAGAACTTGTTTTTAGTTTTGGCTTAAAAAAAACTTCTAATTCATGGAATATGAAACACATAACAATCCATACTTGTTTCATAAGTCATAAAATTCAAAACAGATTTGGATCTTGAAATTTCTTTGAGCGTTATGTTCAAAGTTGTTGAACTTTTTATATACTATAACATTTTATTAGGAAAATTATAACGAAATACAAAAACATATATATATATATATATATAAGAAAATATAAGTCGATACAATTCAAGTCGTTTGCTATCTTCTGAATTTAAACACCTTGGAACTGAATGATATTTTCAGCTTGCTATCACGAACTATAACGTATTATTTTTTGATTAAGGACAGTATATATTTATTTTCTATAAAATCATATGATTTTTTTGACTTTTATTAGTACTAACACGTTCTAATAAACCTATACCTTTGGTTTAAATCGTATATATATATTGTAAGCACACGTTTTAACTTCTTAACAGGACTCCTGGTTACGAATTATTTCTTATTTTTCATAAGAATTAATCAAAATTTTTCTACAAATTCTGACTTTGATAATATTCTCTTATTAACATTATCATTCAGTCTCTTCTCTCGTAACATCTAATTGCTTGACATAATACGTTCATATCAAACTCAAATATTGCTTCTCAATTTCTCTATAACTGGTACAACTTACAAACTACGTTTAATATACTAATGGTTGACTTTGGCCTTCCCTATGGCAAATCACATGTACCTATAACCATTTGCAATAATATCCTATACTAACTAATTTAATCCAAACTTTTGCTCAACGCTTAAATATGTAAAATTAAACAGAACTTAAGAGCAATTTACAAAATCCCTTAAGACAGAATTCTCACCACTTTGACCAACCATATAAATAAATATATACTCATAAATAAAACATTAATAACCGTTTTTAAATTTATTAGAATACATAAAAGAGATGTGATACAACAAAAATAAAATACTAACAGAAATTGCCACACTATCCAAATAAAATATTACAGTAAAACACAAAGTGCAGCCTCTAATTAATCACGGTAGGGATATACTCCTACTAGGCGAGTTCTGCCTACTAAGCTTTTGTGCAAGCTCTTTAATAATTATGGCCCCGATCGATACCTCAACGAGTCTACGTCCGAACGCTGAAATGATCTCCCGACCGCAGACATATTTTTAAAGCAGTTCAGATCAAATGAACAATGAAGCTAGGGTTTTGTTTACGAACGTCAAACCATCCGCCTGAATAGCCGATCCGAGTGAATAAAATTTGAATTCTGATACTATAAAGCTACAAAGGATATAAAGGCAGCATTCAATTGGGGTTTTTATGAAATATCCCGTCTGTGTTTTTGAAAGAATTCTATATATATTTGAATGTTGTAAAAATTTTCAGCTTGTATTTTTACCATTCGCTGAAGAGTCACGAGACAAATTTACAATATGCATCATGTTTCCGGCGGATTATTTGTTGACAAAAAGCCATATTTTTTTATATAAGCATTGTAAAATCTATTTCAATATCTTTAGTTATTTACAACAATTTATAGAAGTGAAAAAGAAATATGAAACGGAAAGAATGAGTGAAACAATTCGTGTACTACAAAAATATTTGAACTTCATACAACTTTCAACCGACGCGTTACAATGTCCTTGTTTAATGCATAAACTTAGACTGTTGTTCGTAATGTCGTAAATATGCTAAATCTTTATAAGCAAACTTTTAAGTTGGATTCAATTCATTTATTGTTAAAAACAACTTTCTTCACATGAATAAAACAAATTTATCTTTTTTCTACACTACGGCTTCTTTCATCCTGAAATTGTGAATAGTTTTCATCGATATCAACGTTTTTATTTCAAGGAAGAACTAGATGTAGCTTTGAATACTATATTGAGAAGATACTTAGAAGTTTGTCTAATGGAATTATGACCATTTTTTTAAAACTTGAGTTCTATTTTAGAAGAAATCTACGTCTAATTTGTGACAGTTAAATTATTAACTATGTGTAATTGACAGAAGTCAAAAGAGAATATCATTAATATCATAGAGAATTATCACACGCAACGGAAATGTACATAACTAAGAGAGCTCTAGAGCATAGCTTTCACGTATAAAAGAATTGACTCTTCAAAGTAACCCAGTATAATTTTCAAAAACTTTAAAACATTATTACAATTAAGAAAAAATAATAATAATAATCATCGGTAGATATCCCTAATATTCGAATTACAAAAACTTTAAAATTATTTTTACAAAATAAACTTCTCTGTTATTTCTAAAACACTCCGTTATTATTCCATAAAGACTTTTCTAATTTAAAATTACTAAATGAAACATACTACTTTAGAAGTGAAATATTTCGTGCGCTCATAAAATATTAGGACCTTATTATAATAATTGAATAAACAAGATATATATTTTTTATTATGACCATTGTAATTACAGATATTGCCAATTTAAAATCCCAATATTTGTATGCCAAAAAAAAAACACTAGGATTTTATTAAAGATTTCTCGTGTTTATTGGATTCGTCAATTTTAAATTGGCTTTATATAACCAATCACATTCTTGGGAATAAATTTAACATTTATTTATAACTGTAATAAAAATATATTACTTTTAAATAAATAACAGCGGCTTCAATTTTCTTGAATGAATAATTTTGAAACTCGTTATTTCTACACTTTGTTTTTAATACGTATATTTTTATGATAGTTAGTCAGTCTAAATCGTGAAAATTATTTAGTAAAATTTACTTTTACTCCATATCTCCTTAACAAGAATGATTAAAGTTATATATTATTCATTTTTCTCAGAGAACATACATTTTTGTGACACTTTTTAGGTATATAGAGTGTAACATAAGACTCACCTAAAGAATCTACCGACAATGCCCATTCCAAATTGCCTTCTATTAGAGTTATCTGCCAATGGTTCCAGCATGGGTGCGTGTATGCGAATGCCGCCTGTTCCCCATTGAACATTCCTCTCGGGCCTTCTGTACTCAACACTAGAAGACGTCCTTAGAGGAGACCTGGCCCTGGAAAGACGCAAAACAGAATAAGAATACAAAAAGGATTCTTCAACAAATTGAATACGAGATTACCTTGATTTCACTCAGCAATAGAGTTATATACATTTTAAAGTACCTTAACAAAGGATAAGAAGAATTCTATCACAAAGATTTAAAAGTTCTGTCGTCGTTTAAATGATAAAAAAAAAAAAACTCAACAACGTTCTTCTCTAGATATGTTTTTGTTAGAAGATAGCTCAACAAAAACAACTTCTATATTTTATCAGTTATCAAATATATACGTATATATTTAGTAATGATGTTTTAAGATATTTTAATTTAGAGCACTTTAACGAAGTGATTCGATTTGACTTTCTATATCATATTGTTCTATCTAGCCTTTTATAGCGTGTTAGTTACAAATCAGGTCAGCACGATATCGGATTCATCTTGAATAATATAAAGCCCCTTGGGAATATATTTTCGCGTCTGAGTGTTCGGAATATTCTAGCAGCAGATTTACAAATTATAAGATAAATAAATTATGATTTTTTCCACCTCTAAAACTCTACATACTGGTTGTTATTTATACAATTGAAATGTATGTCACATTTGAATATAGAAGTTTTATGTAAAATCAAATTATTTAAGGAATCTGATTAAATTTTAAGATTTGACATCATAACTAGAAATAATTAATACTTTTTTGAAAAACTTACCCCGTAAACAAACCTAATGTCAGCGTCAATATTCAAAATTATTAAATACGCTTAGGAACCTATACAGTATACTTAATCAATCTTAATGTCTTTAAATAAAAACTATTATAAAGATTACAAGAAGCTAACTTATAACAACGAGAGAACCTTTCCTTTTTACAACTGAAAACTTCTCGACAGATATCTTAATATCATTTAACGAATTAAAATGTAATCAAAACCAAAAAATAAAAAAAAATCATACTAGTCTTTCATCTGTTTGTCTCATCCTATCTCTTGTGAATGCTTCTATCTCTCTCTATCTATATATCTATCTTTCTCTTGTGAAAAATAGCCATATTCACAGAAGTCTAAATTCATAAAATACAGAACAGTCAATACGTAGATTAAATATTTGTCAAAAAAAAAATATTCGTGAAGAATCGTTGAAAAGTACTAGTTATGCATATGTAATGTTGTTACTGTGTAATATAGTCGAACCCTCGTCACATAGATTTGGGTGAACTGATATTTCTATAAGATTTATGTAGATCTCAAAAATATTAGTGTAGTATTTAATAGCGCGTGTAGGAACTCCTTAACGTATTTATACTAATGTTAAAAAGTTCATATTTTATACAATTTAATTCAAACATATTACCATCGAATTGAATTCTATCTGTAATTAGGATAAGAGAAATTAAAAAAATATTTTCTATGACATTAATTCTGAATATTTATAAAATATGACTAATAGATCTCATTCTTAAAATTATGTTTACCTTGACTTGCATTTATTTCTTTTATTTTACACATACATATGTAGAAATTGCTTAAAGCATTACTCGTTAAATATTTGACATTTCACAATGAAGTTAATAAACATGTTGGTATCAAAGAGTATAAGTATAACAGTATTATAGCTAATATGCTGAACTCGCGAGATATGTTACGATTAACTTGAAAGTTAGGCGCAAATTAACAAAACTTTACTTGAACCGGATTTCCTGCAGAACTTTGCAATTTAGGATTATGGCATTAACCATAATGTATACAGACAGGCTTAATAAAGCAACCTGTGTTATAATAGATCAAATAATAAATGCGAAAGTTACTTACTGTGCTGTTTAACACGCGCTCGATCGATTTAATGACATTAACTAATTACACTATACAGGATGATATCAGTAAGATAGGACATATTGTAAAAAGGATATTAAACGGATTTATCTAGACAGTTGTAATGAAAATACTAATATGTAGTTTAAGCTGACTATAATGAGATCTAAGATTTTCGCGAGTACTTATTTAAATGAAACTAATATTTTCCGATTTACTGCACGATTTTTTTTTGTTTTTTTTAATCACGTAGTAAATCCGAAAATATTAGTTTCATTTAAACTAAGTATGTTTTAAATTAATTTTATGCCTGGCAACCTTTTATATATGCAATATAACATGTTTCTATAACCAAAAGATCATTGACATCTATCAAATATTTTATATATTTATCGCCAATTGTTAAGTTAATTATAATGAAGTCACATTTAGAAACTAATTATTCAACAAATGATGATATCAAATAGATGTGACACAACTTTTGGTTTTATGGAAATAAATGTATTAATTTTTAGGTAATATATTGCGGTATTTCTTAAAAGTTATGATAACGAAAAATTTGGAAATCAGTTCCAAAGTGTCTTGTAACTTTTACCTTCATCACAATCAGTTTGACTGAGTTTTTAATTAACTATGACTATATAGGATGTATAAATTCAAAATTATTAGTCGAGTTTTATCATAGATATAGTAAGCTCAATAAATATTAGAACATATGAGTTGATACTTGGCACAAAATCAAATTCTCACAGCAAGTACTGAACATATTTCACATATGAAATGCTAATCTTTGAGCTTCTTTGAGCCAAGTTATAATATATATTAGATAATCAATTGTTTATGATTCAACAGACTTTAAAATGTACATACCTATAAGAATACTTGATGGAAACAAATAGTCATGTTATTTACAGAATCAAAGCACCAAAAGCTGAATTTAAAGCTAATTCTCAAAGGTCCCAACGGTAATGAGAGGATCCAAATCTAATAAGTGATTGCCGCTACACGCTGTAATAAATTTTCGCTGGTACATTTACTTATTCTTTCTATATAAGCTCACGTAAACTATTAACATTTATGATTTTAAATTGATATTTCCTACTATTAAGCTATTTGAATACAAACTGAATTAATTCTTTTAGTTTTTATTTTATAACTTTAGATAATCAAAAGTAAAGTGATTATTATACTCAATTTTTTTGTAGACTTGTGCCAGTTCTATAGCATTCTCGTGTATGCTTTAACGGCGAAGATTGTGGCAACTTTCCGAAAACTAAAAATGTGTAGTGGCACTTTTTAACAATAGACTAAGGACTTGGCTTTAAAGCCAAACTGCGTCTTTGAGGGTATTTATTCCCTCACTAATGTTTTAAGTTTTAGTATAGACAACTTTTTCTTTGATATTCATACGTATTTTTTTTATTCATTTTAAAAGACACTGAAACAATAAAGTATACTCGTATATTAAATAATATTTATTTTCACAATATTCGTCTATTTTAATATGAATATTTCGTAATTTCTAATAAAATTACCTTACGTCAGATATGAAAAGCAACATTTATAAATATGTAAAATGGTAACGCTTTTTGGTTTTATCCACATCACGTCAAAACCACATAATTTATATCAAATAAAATTTATTCGGTTTAATTTTTAAAACACAAGACTTTGAACTTAAAAAAAGTATAATGCAATATCTTCGTTTAATATAAAGTTATTAAAGTTCAACGACTTTCACAACCACTGAGTGTTCAGTGATGTGTTTTCTTGAACATACGAAAACTTTTTTAATACATCAAACAGGGCGAATGAAAACGCCTTTATCAGTTACTTATATATAACATACAAAAACATTATATTTGTGATCAAAAAGCGTGAGACATGGACGTAATACTTTTGATTTATGACCCTTCATTCATATCGTATCAAAAAAATATTTTTATGTTTCATCTCATCTTTTTGAATGCGTAAATTCCAATTTCTTTTATATTAAAATTGAAGTCCCCACGGACTGTCCTGAAATGCTAATCCGACTCGATAGTTCATTCAGGATAAGGGATCTGAAAGCAATAAATTTCTTCGGAGCAAGGTAAAAGCAAAAATATTATAACGCTGACCTCACATGACAGGCAATACTGTGAAATACGAATGACTTACGTTTATAGCTGCCACATAAACAAATATAATGAAAGTTATGACTTCAGAAACTATTAATAACAAAATATACATATATTAAAGGGAACAAAATTTAGGTCAAAGATAAAACAAATGGAAAGTTATATCAACGTTAGCTCGAGATAAAAAAAGATAAATCAAAGAGTTTTTTATAACGAGGTGGCAAAGTAAAAATGCTAGGAACGTATTCCTGATGCAAAATTTTCTTTATGCAATATCATACTTCGTCTGTATGCTATAAATTTTATTATCCACGATACATTTTACCCCTTTTAGGAAAAAAGTATCCAATAACATTAATTTAAAGTTGTCGCAATCAATAAGAAACCTAATATCCTTTAATTCTAAATTACGTGATCCCTAGTCCCTACAGGATTAACCCGTGCCATCTAACGTTATTGTGAACCATATCTTACAAAACATTACCAACAGCTGTTGATTAAAACATTAAAAGGTTAATCAATAACAATAAATGTATTGTATTTGCAATAAAACCTATTTAAAGTTAAAATAAACTTTTACGATGATGACTATGTCATAAAAACAGCAATATTTATAATAATTAAAAAAAAATCAAGTTTTAATACATCAAATTCCATATTATTTCTAAAAAGTCGAGAGCGTTTCTTAAAAAGAATCTAGCACGTCAAATAATGGACAAAATTTTTAAAGGAAAAAATGTATTTAAAAAAGTCTCATATGGTAGAAAAGATATACACACCCTTTACTCCCGTCCACAGCATCTAAGTCTTCGTGATGCTGGCTGAGTGTCGACATCGCTTGTGGGGCGAAGAAGACGTCATCAATTTCTATTTCTTCGTGTGGACTACTGGCACTGCCACGAAAAGATCGGGACCATTGCACAGAAGTCGATTGGCGAGAACGACGCGTCACCGCCTATAATATAAATGTATATAATAAACCTATATAGCGGCAGACCCTGGCTAAAGCTGGGAAATTGCCAGGAAGAAGAAGAAGAATAAACCTAAAACAGAATTATATATTACGTTCTAAACAATTTAAAGAGATCATGTTCGAGAAGTATTGAGATCTGATAAGATGGCTTATAATTGTATATTGAACTTAATTATAATTGTGACTTGTTAATCATGTCTTATATTTCAAAGAATATGCAAGAAGAATGATTAGATATGTACAGACATAGAACATAATTTCGATAATAGTGTATATTATTAGAACATATTTTGCAAGATAATATAAATTCTAAAGGAACGACAGACGAAATATAAAACATGATCATACGAGTATGTAAAACCGTAGCATCATATCGCAAGATCATATTCTTGGCCGTAATTTTTCTAAAACATTTGTACTTAAGAAAATTTTCCTTGAAGTTCCTTTCTGGATATTGCTAGCGCTATGTTATTTACGATGCCATAACCTTCATGGGTCCCTAAAGACATGGCTTTTATAATTTATCGCGTGGATATATAGCCTAATTCGTCTTTCAAATATTCGGGACCACTAGAATAGGGAGTTATTGAGGTTGTAACTTATGCAAAAGCGTCTGTTTAACAAATGTCTGTGCATGCGCGAATTGTTGGTCATAAATTAGAACACAAAGAGTCGTGACTTAAGAATTTGTGGTCACACTTTATCATAAGGAGCACTCGTGACACAATTACGGCGCGTACGTGAATGCGGTTAAAGCTTTGTATTGTAGTTATGTAATAAGTGTCTGTATTTTAAACGTTAAGTGTCTGTATTGTAAATATTGTATTAAGAACGTTTCATAACAGTAAGCTTTAACATAGCGTACTTACCGTCTGAATAAATATAGCAATGTAACATTAACATCGCATATTATACGTGTTGATATAAATAGATTATTTATTACATATAGTTTTTACTGAATTATATTTAATTTATTTTTATAATTTAAATTATATACCAAAAATATCTCGTCGTAATAAAAAATAAATTAGAATTTTAAGAAATCCAATCCACTTTAGTACACTAAAGTTAAAATTAAACTAGATGTGACAGTACTGTATAATTCAAAAGAAAACTGAACACAACATATGTAAGTATGTTGTAAAAATAACATATTTTAATTTTTATAAATGAATACATATTTTTTTAAATGTTACTTAAAATTTAGAAACTTACGTTCATGAAAGGAATAATCTGGAAAATAATTTACAGATAAAGTTGTAGAAAGGCACATTCTTTTAGTACGTGAACTTTTAGCAGTCCGCAAAAGATGAAGAATTCACTAAGGGTTAGTAAAATTTTCTTTTTCACGTATAATCATTGTTAATAAAAGTGAAATGGTACTATCATTTCACAATCCTCATCACCCACTCCTTGAACTAATTCTCCTAGCGACTACCTAGGATCGATTCCAAAAATTTTTTAGGTCATTTTCGTAGAATTTTTCTCCTCCATTCCATTAAAAAATAATATAAAACGAAATAATACAAAGTTAAATATGCTACAATTCTGTTACAAAGTTATAGTTTTAAAGCAAATAGTGAAAAGCATTTTTATATACGTGATTTATTTCAAAATCAAACACTCCAAACGAATCCGTGATGACAAAGCAATTGTTGATTTAGAACAATTTTCTAAATCGACTCTCGACGTGAAGGTTCCATCTTTGTTTTGAAATGATCATAGCTATCAAAATTGAATATCCTGAAAGTGTTTTCTGATCGTGAACTAAATCTAATAAGGAAGACATTCGTATTCCAATCACACATAATATTGTCAGTTTTATTAAAGTTTGTGTATATAACTGAACTTTAAAACTTTATTGATCTGTGAATGGTGAACGTACTCGGATTTTTAGAGTGAAATGCTAACAATGAAGTATAAAACATAAGAGTAATGCTGACGTGATTTTTTACGTATATAAAATTTTTTGGTATATATATTTGGCCACGTCTAAATTAGTTGCGTCCGTATTTACTTATACATGTTTTATAAAACAAGAGTGAAATAAATAAAAAAATATCTAAACAATTAAATATATTTACTTTCATTTATTTGACTTTTATTGATTAGAAACATGTACAATATTTACGTAACAACTGTTTGGGCTTTACTAATCATCATCAGCCTATCAGAGTCCACTGCTGAGCAAAGACGCCTCTTTCTCTCAGGGAGAAGGTTTGAGCATTAATCTCCACGCTTGCTAAAGACGGGTTGATGATTTCAAACTTATTATTGTGAAATTATAAGTCCAGGTTTCCCCACGATGTTTTCCTTCACCGTCCGTCAGTGATGTCTAAATACTCTTAGAAAGTACTATTTACTAATACTGTAATATATTTAATTCAATATACTTATAGTCAACTATATATAAGTAATTAATTGTCGTGATAGAAAATTGTAACGGCACTTTCGTATCGAACCAGGCCTGCACAATATAAGATAAATTAGTTGTTGGCATGCCATTCAGCTATTTGAGTAAAGTACTCTTAATTTATTGTAGTAGGCAAAGGACTGAAGGAACAAATTAAAATTTAATCACACTGACACTCTTTAGTGGAAGCTCCGAATGTGGAGTCAATGTTATTTTAGATTTAACATAGTTTTCCATTTATATTTTATCAAATTTAGTTCATAATTTAAAATAAATAAAATTTAATAGTATTTTTAACTGCGATTTTGTATGATCTTTTTAATGCTGTCGACGGTATTTTTATTTCATATATACCAAACATATATAACTTCCTGGTAACATCAAATCAATATTCTCGTAAAATCAACAGCATAATCTATTCAATTAATTCACAATATATTCACAATTAAGAATTTTCCATTATATCTAGAATATATATTTTTAATATAAATTTAAATTAAATTATTCTGTAAGTATATAAGTTAACATCTGAAATTTAATCATGTAATTTATACTACAACTTTCATATTCAACAAGATGATTTAACAGCAGCACTATGAATAGTTAAAAGTTTAAAGTAGTTCTGGATTAATTATTCATTAAATTTTTAAACGGCTAAGCTCTGAAGTTGTTTAATTTGTAACCAGAACACCTGATCTGTCATAGTTTAAGCTTAACTTTGTATAATTTTATAATCCGTATTACATAACTTTTCAAAAAGTTTATAACTAACACGTGTTCCACTGAGAAATTATTATGTGGAATAAATATGTTATTACGATACACAGAACATTCGATTACCATACGTTAGTTTCGGCGAAACTAAAAATTAATTGTTCTAGGCTTATATTTAATTTTATTAACAAAGATAAGATCCCGAAGGAGCCTTTCAAATAAAAAGGTAATTTTCTAAAATAAGTTAATTTTAATAAGAAAAAGATAATAAAAGGAAAAATTTATAAATGACATTCTTCGTCAACTTGAAAAAGATATTTTTCTGACAAAGATCGCCACGTTTTAAGCTTTAAAGTAAACGATTAAAGAAAATTTTAAAAACTAATATTATAATTTCTATCTTCACTTTCTTAAGGATTTTTTTTTTTTGTAATATTGAAAATAAAAATGTAGACAGCTGAAATTACTTAGTCAGTACAAGGCGGGTACTTCATATGATAATTAGGTGCTCTGAAATCTTTTATATGTGCACTTTTTTTCAAGTTACCTAACAAGTTACTTGAATAAGCTAATTGCTTCTTAAATTGATTATCTGAAGATTTTGTAAGAGGTAACAAAGTCTATAATTTGAATAAAATTTTGTCCTATTTTTTCGCTAAACGCTTAAAATATAAGTGAAAAATTAAGGTGATAAAATTTTTTCAATACATGAATCAGTTTATCAATTTTAATAGTAAAAAAGTATAACAAGAACACAGCTATTACTATTAATAGATCGTCAAGAGTAATAGAGTATTTCTAAGTTAAAAATAATTCGTATGAAAACTATCGTTTCGTATTTCTTGTGCTGTGTGAGTGGACGCTAATCACTCGTCCATTACACGACGCACATGAGATATTTGGAACAAATAAATCTCAGGATAATCATATTGAAATATGTATTTATAAATGTATTGAAAGAATTAAATAAATATATATATATATACCTCAAATAGATAATCAGTATATTTCATTTGTGAAAGAAAACATGTATGGCATGTATCTTCTCATTTTTCGTCAATGACAAATCTTTTTGTATACTATCGACTTTGTTAATAAGATAGAAGAGTTCGACTTTAGTGTTCACTAGCTTAGCCTCAATATTACGTTTTCGTAAACAATCTTACATCGATATTTTATACATATTTTTTAATATTCCACACGTAAGTTCCATACTGTTTTCACAGAAAGAGAAGTTTAGTTTCAAATTATTATAATATAATTCTATTACCAAAACATTATTATATATAGACCTTTAATATAAAATCATTATAATAATAACGTAAATCTAATTTTGATACTCATTATACATTAGTGTTAGACCGTTTCATATAAGATTACATTTTAATGATACGGAAACATCATTATAATACAGCGGTTAACGGATTTCGGGTTTAATTATATTTTGTTTCAACAAATAAAATCCTTTTAATGAATCTAACTCAATTGTTATATTCTTTATTTTATATGGATTTAAAATATAACAAAAGCTTATTTAAACTTCGAATAACGCTTGTTGAAATCTGTTAAAAATGTATATTTCTTTTGTTAATGGAATATTACATAAATTAATTCTTTTATTAACGGTATTGTAATAAATTTGAACATGCAATCTGGAATGCTCTGGGTATAAAATATTCTAATTATCATTTATATTATGAACATTTGTTTTTCTTTACATTATTTGTTTCAAATGTAACAACATATGTATTGGAGATAAATGAATTATTTTTATGAAACACGATATTGTAAATTTTATAGTTATACATGAAAACATATATCGCGAACCCAAAAAGAAATACACACTTAACAAGCGGAATATATTGCGATATAAAACAACACTACTAAAATAACACGAGAACATTTATAAAGCATTAAATGAAAAATAGTGATGTGAATAAAAATATTTCAGCTATAAACGATATCGTTATTTTGATAAAGAATTATAGTATATTACGCCATTAGTCAGTGGTGGCCTAGTAGTTAAAAAGCCCGTCTCTCACACACGAGGGCGCGGGTTCGATCCTTGGCCCTGGCAAGTACCAATGTCATTTTTCCGAGTCATATGTACTTTCTAAGAGTATTTAGATATCACTGATTAATGTTGATTCCCAAAGAGGGTTGATGTCAGGCAGGCGGCCGGTCATAAAAACGAATAGCCAAAACTATTCATAACATGTAAAGCAGACCCTGGTTTGCCAGGAAGAAAAAGTATATTACGCCATTATTATAATATGTTTAAACGTAGTAATATGAGTTATATGCTCACAGTAACGACGTATGATAGTCCTGTGAGAGTAAGTCGAGCCACGCTGTCCTTGCCGAGGCGGGGAGGTGGTTGTGTATTATCGAGCGACGCCGGCGCTGGCAGTACGTCGGGTCGCTCGCGATGCCCCCGGGCCTCCCTTGGCGCTGCACCAGATGCTCCATACATACTGTAACGTACATTACTATTAATATATCGAAACAATAATATTACACAACACATAATACAATGCCGTACTATTGTTAAGGTCGACAGACAATTGGTTGAAGTTATGTCAATGTAATGTAAATCGTCACATTACTAATATAATCGTTATTATAGCTAGGAAGGTACACCATAATGCTAAGTGATAGTATTGCGTATTATAGTAAATATATGAAACAATAGACTTTTTATTATAATAAACAACTAAACCTATCCATCGTAGTCATTCACTATAAGTATTATATACCCTGTATTCAGAATCCAACATATATCTAATATGTCTCTTCCTTCTTTGTAAGTCAAAGACAAAGCAATTTTCAAAAGGAGCATTCTTCAAAATTCTTTTTACGAATCAGAATGTATGATGGAATTACATGAAACTGGTCTGTTAGGCGTTTTTATTTATTGATAAATTGTTTTTTTATTATTATTTTAGCTTGATATTAAAAGTAATCAATGTCTTAATTGAAGTCTGGTTAGATATTGTTTAAGTTTAACTCAGGGATAATTAATGAAAAAAATATACAGATTTTTAAAAAAGTCAATTTTCTTGCGAAGAAATATTCAGCATAATATCGTTTATCGTAAAATTTTTGAAAGTGCTTTTAATTTTTTATCCTTGGTAAGATTTTTTACTTACTCTATCCAAGTCATTTGACAAAGAAACAACACGTCCCGATTCGTAAAATAATAGCAATTATTATAATATTAAACTAACTGAGAGAATATTAAAGGAAAATCTTTAACGCTTTATATAACATATGGCAAAAAAACAAATGGTTTCTGGCACGGAAATATCGCAAAAATATTTCATTGCAGCGAAATCCTTTTGATGGCGATATTTAAAAGGAATGCGACGTCTGTACGAACCAGTTAGGGAATTGATCGAAAATTTTGTGTCTATTTCTTCACAAGTACATGACTAGTATTTCGTTTACTTGAACTATCTTGCTGTAAGTATATAATAATAAAACCAACATACACAATATTTGAGTTTATTATTTTATTATAACACAAGTCTTACAAATAAGAAGCTCTAACATCATTTGTTTTGAAGTAAGTGGTTATATTTCTTAATCAATCAATTGCTTTCAGGGTTTTGAAGTTTTCTACCATTTTAATTACAGTCAAATATTTGACTTGTGATAGCTGAATCAAATCAAATCAAATGTATATAAATCAATAGTTAAAATCAGAAAATTTGATATAGAATTATCAAATAAGATGATGGTGAAGTAATTATAAATATAATAAAGAACAAATTTACATGGAAAAACGAAGAACCAATTTATAAGAAAAACAAAATCTTAAAATGCGGATCATGTTTCTAGGATGCCTTGAACTAGATGGGTTGAAATTATAAAGAAACTTTATGTACTTAGAGTTATCTATAATAATCTTTTATTTGCCACTTAAAATAAATTTGATTAATTAAATTGCTGTGAAAGTATATACGGCGAAAAAATGAGGAGAGATCCAAAAAATAGGTGACTACACTGTTGAAATAACTTTCAGTATTCAATAAATAACATAAGTAAATTATAGACAGTTTTTTACATAATTTTATTAGATATCAATCATATGTTTGCATTTCAGTACTACTAACATATTTTATAACAGTCGTAGGTACAATTTCTATTTAGTTATAAGTCAATTTCTATTTATTTATAAGTACTATTTACGAATGAATAGCAATTGTTTTTGCGCACTAAAAAATTCCATTATATCGTAACAAATAATCATGACTCAGGTTTAATGTAGGTATAATTTTTCTTAACTCAGTAAAAATTAACAATATATACATATGCTACTTTAAAAATTCTAACTTTCATAATTGAGCAGATGTCGCCTTCTGCCAACAGCATCTGATAATGATACCTATCTTATACGATTTGGAACGTGTGAAACAGACTATCTTTATATTTTTCCACTTCATTGTTTTTATAAATAAAAGAAGGTTTTTTAAATTATAAAACATTTTTTAAATATATGAAAGCTTAATAAGTATTCATTATATTAAATTGTCTAGTTACCTATACAACAATGTCAATTCAACGTACATATATGTATATATTGTAGTTTTGTATAAACATTTATTAAATTTCACTATATTCATAGCCAGTAACCCATTAACCCGTTCTATAATTCGCATGACCTCATTTTCGATCGTCTAAAATGCAGGTCACGTTAATAAATATTAAACGCGTTCGCTAAATCTTTGAATACGTTTCAGTACTTTGATTTGAAAAACCAGACGTTGCTAATTTAATATCAAACTTAAGTTCATTTTGATGATATAATTATATATATAGCACATAGTTACTAGACAAATTATACTTTTTAACTAAAAATTACTTACGTCAAACTTCATGTCCGAATAACAAGTTTATATTCAATCATTCCTCATTATAATTCGCAGATACATATTTTTTTTAATAATTTTATAACATTATTGACAATTTCCTAACCTCTATATTTAAATAGCTCTCCAACAGGCTGAGTATATTTACCTTATAATGTATGTCAACGATTCATAAGTGCTTAGTAAATGCGTATTTGAATAAAGGATATTTAACATTTTATCGTGATTCTGTTCTATTTTATTTTGATTTAAGACAAATGAATTAACATTATTATTTCTTATTTTTGTACTACTAAGAAAACATTTATATTCTTTATTCTTAAAATTTACTGTTAGAAAATATCGTTTGGATGAAGCTTAGGTTTGTTCATAAATATTTTAAACATTTACCACTAAAGGTTTAAAATATAATATAAAAGTAATATATACTCGAGTTGGAATAAAAGTAATATAATTTATAAAAAATAAAACATATAATATAATTGCTAACTTATACTTAATTTACATTGGTTGTATCCATTACGTACAATTAATGATTGAAAGAAATTGCTTCATATATTGGTAATATTTTTCTATACAAACAAATATCTTTCATAGTAGTTACTCCGCTTCAACCTGTTTTGATAAGCAAAATAAGCACATATACCAATATTTTACATTTTCAGTATTGGTACAGTAATATATCGATCAACTCAAACACGTACGTAAACTGAATACTTGAAAAACGTACCAGCTGAATATCAAATAAGACATGTTATAGGTACGTATTTGCACGCTTTACTTGTTCGATGAAACATCGTGTAAAATATAAATGTTTTATTTTGAATACATTTTCGTTATCATCTTCAAAAATGCTGAAATTTATTTAATTTTAAATGACGATTCTTTAAATAAAATTTGAATTTGATGTTTGAACTATTGTTTATTTGGAAACTAAGATATGCATATGTCCATTTTGTTGTACGATAATTTATTCTAACTACGACCAGTTTATAAAACTATAAATATTTCATGTGGATTACTTTGTAACTTGACCATAATAGTGCATTACATGCTCGAATATGTCTGTTATACACATATATGGCGTTATATTCTTTGTTATTAATCTATATATATAGCAAAGTGTACTCCATTTAGCCGAAGAGACATTACGTACAGTGTGTTTGTCACAGGCATGAATTATTAACGCGGCATAGTCAATAAATTTAACGCTTAATGCTTCGCTATTCATAAATTATTGTCATAAACAAAATATATATAAAAACATATAACTAATGTACGTAATGCTTTCACCTAAATTCAAGTTTCGCTACGTTTTGTCTGTATCAATTATTCTTTTACTGCACTTCTAATCAAGTTAACTAATAAGTTTCATAAATATTGAAATCAAATTCTGGCACTTTGACATTTTTGATATGACTTTGATAATATTTTATGTGTAAAAAAAGCTTCATGGTTTTCTTTAGTTGGTCATATTTTGAGCCGATTATTTCGATTCTACTTACCTAATATCGTCATGATCAGGATGATGATCTGGGGGTAGGTCCAGCCTGAGATCTCCAAGTGCTCTCGCTGCATGTCTCCTCCTCCTTTCATACCATAGCCTTCTCTGTTCTCTCTCATTATCTCTTTGAACACCAAAAAATGTCTGTGTCTCTCTTTTCAAATAATCTCGAACAGCCACTGTATGAGCTCGTCTTAATTTCACCCCTTCTTCTTCAGGTTGAGGTTCGGGAGGTGGGGGTGCTGACACGATTCGAGGAGGGGAGGTTGTTTGGGGGATTGTGGGTGCCGAAGGAGGTGGTCCAGGTGAACTCTGGCAAGTGAGTTGGGAAGCCAGCAACCCGGCACTAGATCTCCTGAAACAGAAAAATGAATGCTATAGAAATACTCATATATATAGACAAAAATTTAAAACTAGACTCAATACTTTTTGTTCATTAAATTTTCATTCATTTTTAGATAAAAATAGGAGTAGTGGTAATAGTAATAACAACATTATTCTGATATAAGCTTATTTTAACTGTTGGAACGGAGAGCGAACCTGAAATTGGTTTATTACGACGTTATTTTAACAGCTATGAAATAGTTAACGAATTCTTTAACACCTACTTCAACTTTATCGCCTGACACACAATATTCACAAGAGCATTTCAATAATATAGCTATTTTTTTTATAGCTATCTTCTATATTCATAGCATTTGGCGATGAAAGAAAATTTTAAATAATTTTATATCAAAAATGGACCTGATATATTTAATGAGTAACTGTAAAGTATTAATCACGTGTCAATCTTCAAAAATTATTATCATATTTACAATATTCTAGAAGAATATATAGATTGAAAATACAAACAAAACATACTTTTAACAGATAGAGATTAATTGTTGTATTTCATAGCAAAGATTTAGATCCTAAAACGTCGATATAAAAGTTCGCATTAAGATCTTGCCATACATGTATTGTATATTAAAGCTACAAGAGCTGCCTTTGTGGATAAAAAACTCTGTTTTAACATATGAAATACGACGTAAAGGACCATTATAAAAATTGAGAAACGAGATTATAATTAACACAAATTATAACCGCAACTTATATTATACTTGCTAAGATTTGTTGTACTTGTAAAAATACACAGATCGGTTTTATATAAAACTTATTTCTTCATTACATAAAATGTCAAAAGAGTTGTATGTTAACATTCTAGTATATCAATTCATCATTATTAATTTTCGTTTGAACACAATAAGATAAAGCGGAAGAATTCGCAGACGAAAACTATATGTATCGTGTTTTATTTCAATTCAATACTCAGGGGTGTCCTTTCTCTTACTTTTGTGCTTTTGTTGTTGTTATATTACGATGAAGGTATTGAAATTAAGCCCATGGGTGCAGGTACAATTTACGCTGTTCGTTATTCCGACTGGAGCGTCATCGGCAAATTGACTGGATTGATTTGGTATTTCCGATTGCAATTCCGTCGCAAAATCAATTTGCAATAGTTGGATGTCAATAATTGGATCTTGTTTAATATAATAAACACAGAGCTCCGATGTATTTATCAACTAGGTGATGATGTCATTATGTATTAGCAATTTAAGTGATTACATGAAAGAATTTATTTGATTATTCTAAATAAATATCGTCTTTTGTTACTATGCAAAAAAAAGTCATAGCATGTGATGAAAGTCAGCATCTTTTTATTTATGTAACCATAACAATTGTATGGACATTAATTTTTTTTAAATAAATGTGAATGAAGAATATAAAACTGACATTTCTGTTTCTGTTCTGACTTGAGTTTTCTGTTTCCAGAAGTATTTATAACCTTATCTAATTAACCTGAGAAACCACAGTAGTTTTACGTAATTATTTTTATTACGAACGCCTAAATTACCTAAGTCCATGTTTGTGTAATTCCAGATATGAATCCAACTTGTTACTATCTGGAACATAATCTTAACTTTAATTTTCATTCTATATATATTTATATATTCCTACTGGCGTATCTGCTAGACTGAACACAGCTGTGCAACAAACACAGTTCCTGATGTAATCTCACGATTAATTTTCAACTCCATCCCCTAGTTACTAATCTTCTATATATATAAAAATGGATTGCTGTTCCTTGGTCTCGCTAAAACTCGAGAACGGCTGAACGGATTTGGCTAATTTTAGTCTTGAAATACTCCTGGAAGTCCAGGGAAGGTTTAAAAGGTGAGAAAAATTGATTCATTACTGGGAAAACCATAAAAACAGCCCTTTTCTATTTCCCATACAAAAGTTTTTTTTGACATTAGATTTGACAACTAACAAATATGTCAATTCTGTTTGATTGAAACAGGAAAAACCTGATTATTTATGGCCTCTAAGACGGAATAGAGTTCGACTGGTCAGCTACACCTACTTATATTACTCTTGACCAAACTAACGCGGACGAAGTCGCGGGCAAAAACTAGTAGTTTGATAAATATACACCGTTAATCATTGTTAAATAGTTACAATACTCAGACCTCAATCAATATTAATAAATAAAAAGGTACAAAAAATATCGACTATATAAAATTCGTATTAAAAGTCATTAACAAAAAGTATAAAGCACATTATAATTAATTATTTTAACAATTCAATTCGAATGAAATAGATATTTATGACAAAAATACGATTACTAAAAACGCCTGTCAAAAACAAAAACGCATTTAATTATCTCATATAATAAATTATAACATAAATCGAGGCTTATTTTATTTATATTAAATTTCATGAATTTTTTAATATATCATTTGAAGTACTTACGTTATTATTTTTAAAAAATTCTTCATATAATATAGTATATAAGCGTACACGGAAATCTCAATCAAGTAGATGGTGTCAGTGTGACACAGGGACTTAATAAAATGTCCCATGTCTTTAATACTCTTGAACGTAAGGTTGCTTGTATTCAGAGATGAAACAGATGACCTTGACCCGCTTCTCCTTTGTTTCACCTTAGCTATTGATTATTTCACTCGTGTTTTACAAACACCCGCTGATTCAAACATTTTTATTTTATCAGCCATAGAATTTAAACATTTCGTTTTATATAAGTCGTCCGTCATTTAATGTATGTATTCAGTCTTATTGATAAATAACTGAATCTTTTATCATATCAATTTCTTAAGAAATTGTTTTATTCCGAATGTGCCCACTACATTACACGGAGCGTGTATCAAGATATTGGATAATTTGATGAGAGGCACTAAGGAAATATCAACAATGTGTCTCAAGCCACATACCGAGTAATACATCGATTTGATTATATCTCAGGCTGTTTGTGAAACGATGTTAGTTGCCTCCTAATATAATATCCGTTTTATAAATTGATGCGACACCAGACAATAAACGGTCTGCGTCGAATGACATTCACTTTATAATCAATATCTATGTACATAGTTTTTGAATAATTCTGAAAAACTAAGCTGTGATTATACAAAATTAAAAACAGAAAATAATAATATTGGAAGCAATCTATTTCCATAGTTTTCATTGGAGCTTGAATGGATGTATCTTTAGTTTTACGTAAAATTCTAGAAAAAATATACTTTTTTATTTCATATGCTTAAATAACACAAAAAAACCTAATTTCTTACCGAAATTCGAATGTTTTAACTGACTTAACTGACAAAATATGTATTTAACGTAACAATAGTATCAGCTCATTTGATATTCCTAACTTGTTTCCAATATCCAGTGGTCGTAGGACTGAGAAATCGACTTGAAACAGGACTTTAATAAGTACAGTATTAACCTAGTTTCGAACTTGGATATTCAGAACCGCTTTGTCATTATTGTGGCTTACAATCTTATCGAATAAAGGGAATATATTTTCTTTCCTCTAGTTTTTTTCCTTTTACTTGTGTCCCCAATAACGCCTTATCCAATATTGCTCAGGATTAGGCTAAGACGTGGCGCAAATAGAATCATGTACTAATGAACATATCTCATGTAGGAAATATTTCCTGACTTTTAAAGTATGATGTCTTTTACTTTAATTTTAAAGTATGATCCCATAATTTAAATAATATTTTATTTGTTGAAATCATACGATACATTTCTTTTGTATACATATCAGCCAAATACTCGCAATTTAAACCGTGATAATAGCTAGTTAGTATTTGACCAGTGGAACATGGGTTCCATAGTATTATAATTCCATAATATTATATTAGTAATGGTACTAATTTGATAGAATGGAATAATTATAATTTTGGCATAAAAACTATTAATGAATGAAACGAATATTTTTCAGATAATTACGTATATTTTATTATTTTTAAAAACTACATACTCTCGACGTTTCCGTTACTTTGCAGCAACCATGATCACGGATTATAAAAGATATTAGTTTCATTCTAATGAATACTCACGAAAGTCTTAGGTTTCCATATTCATGAATGCCACCGTTAAAGAACTTAGATTAAACCGTTCGTTTGAACTAAATATAAGTATGATCAATAAAAGTCAAGAGAGAAATTCATTATTGGATAATGGTTTGTAAATACCCGCTGGCGGTACACGTTTATGAACTAATTGTCTACTTTATATTTCCAGGTTCTTCAATATAATACTGAACGGCTGAAATATATATTTTTGGCAAGCGTTCTGTCGAACAACGAGCTTAACAAATAGCACGAATTCAATATACAGTGTTGACGATAAATTTTGCAGAAAACATCTCATTAGGAGTAATAAATTATTTCAAAGTTAAATTTGATTGTTGTCATTAATTAAGATATAAACATCGCGGCAGTTCCCGAGCTCTTTCGATATGAATCTCATAATATAAATTATTATTTTGCTTAAACGTATAACGGTGCAGTCCGCAAATGATAAAATTAATACGACGTGATGTAATGCTGATTGGAATATTAATTATACTCTATTAAAATTGGTCGTGTTGATATCAAATGTAACTATAATATTATTATTAGCCACATATTAAATTTAATAATATATAATTTTAAATATACTAACACCGTACAGGTATATTTTAATATTCACTTTTTCTGTACTATCAATAATGCTAGCAGATGAATATGATGATAAAAATTCATAAAATAATGAAATTTAAATTTGACGATTTGACTTTAGATATTTTTTATTTAATATATTATATTTGTTTTTCATGTCATAACAATCATGATATGAAAATATGATAACTGAGTTCAGTTAAGAGCGTGTTGAAGAGAGCTCGTTGAAATTCAAGTCGGGCTCGCGTGACAACCAGCAATATAGAGGACTCAATGATAGCATCGCTTCCATGGCTGAAAACGAGTCAGATATCGTCCTGCTAACTAACAGAATTTTAACTGTAAAAAGTTTTCAGCTCCACCCATATTTTGAGAGATTTATTGGCATCGATGCTTATTTATCAGATTGAAGAAACTTTATCCATTTACATAGTTTTCGTGGAAGAAACATTCGCTCGACATTTGAATTTTCGTCAAAGTGAACTGACACGGAAAAATAATATATAAACCAAGTCGCGGTAAAAATTGTCAATTTACATTTTAAAATTAAGCAAGCCAAGAAACATGTCGGCATGTGGAACGCGAAACTGGGTCCCTTTCAGCGACGTCATGTGCAACGAAAACATCGCCAGTGAATTCATGTCACAGAATTTCTCAGGATAATGAATGCACGTCGTTTTCCTCGTAACAAACAACTTCTGCATGACTTCAGTGTTGGCCTTCTTTTCAAAAAGCATTATTAGTATCTGTGCCATTTTTAATGGCGTATTCATAAAAAAAATATGACTTTCGAGTTTTATTTCATGGAAAATATTTTTAAAATTACATTCGTTATATTTGAATTTATTTAAAATAAATCTGTATTTGTAAAATATCTTCTAACTTTTATAAAATTAAAAAACCATTTCATTGTTAATGTAATTCTGAGTCGAATAATTCACAATTCTAAAAACGAATTCTTCATCCAAAATTTTCATTTATTTAAGACGCTGTCAAAAACCAATTTAACTGAGGTAAGTATATTTTAAATTGTATCTTTTCTAAGCACCACTCTAAATAAAAAGCTAGAACCTCTTTTAATTTTATTGGCTGTGTATAAAAATAAAACAATTCACATTAAAGTAAAAACAGTAATACAACGGCGAATGTCTCTGGATATATTTATAGCCAATGAATAAGAATCAAATCCCTCGGGAGTACCTTCAGCTTCGTAGCCTCATCTTATATAAACATATGCAACAATTGTGTGTTCAAACTGGCAACATAAAATTTTATATAGAAAATTTTCTAAACGTTACATAATATAATGTATATAATTAATTAAAATGGTACGTAGTTTTATCGCATACTTTACATTTGCTTGCGTGTTAGTACTAAAAATTCAAATAAAGTAAGTAGGTCATGTTTTTGTACTAAAATGAAGTGACGTTTAATTTCTTGTAATTGAAAAGAAACAATACTGACTTCTTAGAATTTGTGATCGTTATCAACGTTATAAGTTTCATACTTTCTAATTACTACCACTTTTCACTTTATAACCCAATAAAGTTATAATAATACATAAATCGAGGCGTAAATGCTGTTTTCGATCCTTGCCTAAAAGGTTACAACTACGAGACACCATTAACGTTTCAAGGTCAAAAAGGTAAGTAAATTATCAAAATAAAGCTATTTTATTAATGTATAGGGTTTTATTGCTTTTAGAATTAATATCTAATATCAAAAATTAATAACAGAGTACATACAAAATAAATTGTTTAACTACAAATTATAATTGATTAAACCAAGCTGCGAAACACAAAGTTTTTATTCAAACCGGAAGATTCAATATGTATGTTTTGTTATTGAAATTTTATACTGATGTTTTTTAAAAGAAAGTAAGTAAATTTAAACCAAAATAAAATTGATTTGACATAAGAATTCAATAAAATAACCTAAATTAGAAGTGGTAATAGTGACTCCAAAATAATTTGAACCAATCGGTGAAATGCATGTTGCTAAATGTATAGGATTCAATTTATTTGACATATCCGACTAATGCTTGCTATAATGAGTATTTAAAACATTTTTAGGAAAATCTATTGAACAACATGTAACGCTATGCTAAACATTTGAAGTCAAGAATTTCTGATTATAACAAGGAATAGATATAAATTCAATTAATGAAATCAAATCTAAAACACATATCTGAAAACTATCTTCTATATATATAAAAATGGATTGCTGTTCCTTAGTCTCGCTAAAACTCGAGAACAGCTGAACGGATTTATCTTATCTTAGTCTTGAAATGTTTGTGAAGGTTCAGGGAAGGTATAAAAGGTGAGAAAAATTGATTCATTTCCGGGAAAACCCTAAAAACTGCCCTTTTCTATTTCCCATACAAATGTTTTCTTTGACATTAGATTTGACAACTAACTAATATGTCAATCATTCTGTTCGATTGAAACAGGAAAAACCTGATTATTTATGGCCTCTAGGACGGAATAGAGTTCGCCCGGTCAGCTATACATATATTACTAAAGATGAAATTAACGCGGACGAAGTCGCGGGCAAAAACTAGTGTATAATAAAATTGTTCTCCAAGGCAGAGTAACGCCGTAACATAAAGCCAGTAGTAGATAGTAAGATATTAATGATTTAATTATTAATAAGTTCGACCATAGAGATATTATTATTCAGTATGTACTTAAGAATTTATGAAGCAATCAAGAACTAGGTCACTAGGTACATGTTATTATGTAATGAAACTTGCTAAGCAATTATATTATATAATATTATCGATCCAATTTTTATATAGGCTCAAATATAATACAATGTTCTATCATGCTATTATTATTGTTAAAATATTAAAGTATAAAAGTATGTTAATTGCAACTTAATACCACAAAACTAAAACTAGATTATCTCAGTTAATGTATTATTAATCTTCAAAACCGAGCTTTCCCATTATCACATCTCGCTTCAAGAAAGTTTGTAAAATGGATGTCAGTTTAGTTAAAAGTGAGAAATTACATTAACATATAGAAGAGCCAACAAGTTGATGTCGTATTTCGTAATTGGACTATTCACAAATGTTTATAAAACATATGGAGCTGTGAATACATATTAATTAAAATAGCTATCGCCCATTAGCGATGATTAATGAAAATAGCAGTTTAAATGATGAAATGGATCGACGATGATCAGAAGTAACGAATTTCGTTTCATACCTTCAGTGTTTTTAAGCGTAAGATCGTAAATCTATTATATGTATTTTCTAAGTAATTTACCTCTGATAACTATTCTCAAATCTTCTCAATTTCACATGTCATATACATATATTCGCAAAATTCACTGTCATTATGGTAATTTAAAATATAATAATGTATTGAATGGAAGAGAAAACAGATATTATTTTCAAAGAAAATATGATCTAAAGAATATATTTATAAGTCTGTAAAAATGTAGCAGCATCATTTGTTATAACATTTTTACGAAATTTGACTTTGCTTTCTCTTGGATTGATATTAGGGAAGAGACAAGTAGAAAATGACTATAGCAAGAAAAACTAAATCAGCATTTAACAAAACCAGTATTGAATTAAGAATCTTATTATTAACTATTTATGGTATATTCTGGATTTGTGACTGATGTACGTACGCCAATCGTAAGTCACAAATTGACCATAATTGGCTCACCTCAATGGACAAAGATTTCAGAGCGCTATCTCTACTTATGTATAGAACAGTATTCGTCCGATTGGAAATTGACAGGACGGAGGTGCAATTTCGAGATAATTTCAGTTTAGAATTGAGAATTGTGGGATGATACTGAGATTTTAGTTTTTTTACAACAACAACGTGATATTTTATTTAGTCTAGTAACTCATTTCTGTATCTTCCTTACAGTAAAAAGCGATGTAAGTATCTCATAAAAAATGTAATCTGCAATATATGGGAGCGTTTGATAATATCTGATGATAATAAATTATAATTACTCTTATATTACCTCATTCTTAATTAATTGGTACTTTTATAGCAACTTCTAAAGACTATTCCATTCCATATAATAATGAATTAACTTTTCTACCTCTATGATTATTATAACCAAAACATTTTTTATCTCAGTTATTTATGTCATTCTGAATCAAGCCCTTTTTCAGGTAATTACAAACTTTAATTCCGTTTATAATATTTGTTATGTTAATAAAAACGTATTGTCAGGAGTAGAAACTTCAGACTAATTCAAAAAAAAGTTATTTGAAAGATATTAATTATTTAAATTACTGTTTGACCGTTCCTCTTATTTTGGATATTAATAATTTTTTTTTGATTACCGCATTGTTCTTTTTTTACCAAGATACTATAATCGAAACTTGTTCATCAATCAATTCAACTTAACCTTTTTTTCATGTAAAGGAATTTTTTATCTGTTCACATATTAAAAACGCTCAGACCCATGAGACAAAAGAGACCCTGAAAATGAAGGAAATATCTCAAAATATGTACCAAAATAAAACCTTCAAACATTTTTCATTTACACTTTTTAGTGGAGTAGTGAGCACTCTCGAATGAAAATTCAGCAACAATACAGTTTGGTACTTGTAACTGAAAGTTACAAGCATCTGCTGAAAAATGCTTTCATACAGTCTTTTCATACAATTCATTATACATATATCATATACCAAAAACAAGCTTTATAAAGTATATATGCACACATACAAGTGTTCACACACACATATGTATATTTATAATCCCAATTTATTTCATATATCGATTCTTTAGATGAAAGTAATTATTTGAGTCGGAACACCCTTTAAGAAAATGTATGGCTTCACCTGATTTTGAAATTTCAAACGTTAAAAACCCTTTATTAAAACTCATCTAGAAGTAACGTTAAATAATACAATTGAAAGATTACTTGCAATAATTATTCAAGTAAATTAGAAAAATATAATAAAAATACCGAACTATAGAGTATCGAATAGTTAATGTTTCTGTTTATAACGAAATTAATCTTTATTTTTTGAATGACAGTTAAAATAAAAGAAATTCTATTTCATTTTAGTTAAATAATTAGTATAAATATAATATTAATGAAAACATGAATTGCAGGAATACAACATAAATCAAATTAAAAGCGCTTGCAAAGCTGCAAGTGAAAGTTAGTAATTGCTAAAATAATTATATCATATATTATTTCTAACTAAAGCACAAATTCCTTTTATTAACACTTCTACTAATTTAAATATATTTATTCAACTCTGTTTAATAAATATTATTAAACAAGTATTTCCAAAATTAGCATAATTGTTTCAGGAAATGCAAATATATTTAGTAATAAATAAAAAACGATAATATATTTTGTCAGACAGACAGACAGACTCTAAATATGACCAAAATTTAACAAAACTTAACACACGGGTTTACACGTCAATGTTCATAACACCACAAAATCAGAGCACATGATTTAAGTCGAGTCTGCGACGACGTATCGGTAATTCGATACATGTTCGTTGTTCCTATTATTAAAAAGAAAAATCTTATATCATTGTTATATATATAATAACATTCAATAGACATATTATCAATGCTACACATACATACCATTCTTTTGAAAAAATAAATCCACTTCTTTTGACACTAAAATATGAAAAGCGTTATACAAATTCTTTGCTCTGCTCGTATTTTAACTTGACCGTAGACACAGTCTAGCAGGATTAGTCTAATACTTAACTTTGAGAGACAGAGTGAATACAAATATTAACTTATAATGACTGAATTGACAATTTTCACGACGACTCAAATTAGTTCCTGAATTGCTTTCTGATTGTACGTTTTTAACATAAATAAATACACCAGGAAATAATTCAATAAATTATTATTTTTAAGCCTTCACCGGACTCGTGACCAACGGAATTACACACCCATTGCCCATTTGAGGCAATTTTGATTTCCATTTTACGTCAGCATTTCCATAATACCTCCATCTAAATTTTTATTTTCCCCAATTACTGATGGCAACAGATTTATTGCGACTCGGTGTGAAATAATGTTCAAAATTTTCTCATATTCACATAAAATACCTCCACGACTGTATAAATTCAATAAATCGACTCAAATGACTTAAAAATATATCTACGAAAATTTTATATCTTTTCAAAGAAACATAAAATTTAAGTGACAAATGGAGTGATAATATAACTATAATAATCTTAGGTGTCATACACTAAATTTTCGGGAAAATAATGGAATTAATATTTAATATAAAAACAGAGTTATATTTATATTAACATTATTTTAAACCTCACCAGTTAATATAAATTAATGTCCCGATCACAGCACTTAAGTACTGTACCTACTTACTATTTTTTTGTTCCCGAGTAAAACTTCTACGCAATTGGTAATAATATTGCCAAATACAAAGAATTTTAATGCAGAGATTTACTTATAAAATTTTAAATTTACAAATAATACCCACAAAGTAGTTTTTTTAATGTTATCAAACGTTGTGGCAATTCCGGCGTTCGCAAATTTTCATCATTCAATTTACAAAAAGTTAAAAAGAAAAGTAACGATAAATACTATTTTTCCTTGAGGGATTTCGTTTGAAATTTTTAAAACAGAGGAGTATTAGGAAGTTGAGAGTTGGCGAACAAATTATAAATTAATTAACAGTGAGAGGCGAGGTCCAACGATTACTCTAAGATTTCTCGGCGAGCTGCCAGCGGTGCCTAACCGAATGCCTATTTTAATAATTATGACCAATTCCATTAAGCCCTACTCTTTGCTGACTGTGTATTAAATACTCCATATTACTTGAGTAAAGCTGGGATCTCAGTGAATTGTGTTATGAAAAATTTTGTTATGTTTCGCGTTATGAAACGTATGGTTTTATGGTTTCTATATGAGTGAAACAGTTCTAAAGGACACACACAAACAATAACTTCTTGGAAAACATAAAGTGTCTTAGGTATACGAAACTTATTGTGTTATGAAATGTAAATGTTGATAATGGAAAATAACCAGAAACCAAGGGTATTTTTTAATTAGTGTGTATTTTATATTAAAAATTTTCAATAGTCAATCTTCAAGTGGAATTATGGTGCTAAAAACTACATACCTTCCTAGGTAGGAAGTTTTTTAACTAGATAATTATGGCGTTACAAGACTAACTACCTACAATATGTATAATTAAAAAAAAAGCAACAAAATTAAAATTAATTACATTGTTTTTATGGTTTAACTTTGTACAAAAAATATATCTCAGCCTTTCTATTTTCATGATGTTTCTCGAAGCTGTGATATTTATTTTTCTCTAGCTACTACCTCTGACTTTAATAAAATAATGGAAAAGTAACCTTCAATAAATATTTTAATTATATTAACTATAAAAATAAAAAGCCTCTTACCGCAAACTTCAATATTACAAAGGCTTATTGTTTGACAAAAAAAAATCAACGAATTGTAAATATTGATATGATTTGTTATATAAGATTTAATTAGCGTTTTCTGTGCCAGAACTTGAATTAAACAAACATTTTCCTTCACAACAGTACTCGATGTACCTACTCGATACAAGGACCCTCTTCCCTTTAGAACTAACGAAGCCATTGCTATCGATTGTAGACATTAAATCGTTCTCAGTTAATTAATTGAGAAAACAAGAAGAAACACAAACGAATAAAATAAACGAACGGAATATTAATTAAACACAACATAGCTCCGTAAACAGCCAGCGAACAAAACTTTAAAGAAAGTTAATTTAAGAACAGCTTATTTTTATTAATACAATACAAAAACTCCTTTCGTTGTCAAAAAAACTTTTTTTTTGTTAAATTCCAACAAAATAAAAAACTTCCTTTGACAATTATGGTAATAAGTTCGTAAAAATGTGGATTATAATTTCAATGTAAGCGATGGATTTATAAGTATAAAAATTCACTTTGATCTTTTTCTTTAATAATACGGAATACTAAATACAATAAATTAAATACTTTTTCTATATTATAATATATTCTTTAATAAATATTATTCTTCGATCGTTTATATTGACACGTCTTTAAAATAAAACCAGTATATAAGCATGTCTATGTATTAAATCTGTTCACAATTCAGGTGTTCTTCCTTCAACGAAACTAATTTCAAATAAGTTGAAAACAACATTATGAGTAAGTATATCTTATTATAGTGCATGATTAGTGGTCACGTCATTTTCAAGAATTTTTCTTTATTTGTTTATAATATTAAAATATATATGAATGTATTGTTCAACATTATAAAACAATGTGTTTTAACAAAATTATAAACATAATAACACACATAATATAATTAAAACAAGAATACTTGAAAAGATAATATGATTTCAAAGTAAAATTCACTCGTTTGATGTAACACGAAAAACCAGAATTAACTCTTGCTACACGGGTTTTAATCCTACTTAATTAATTTGTCCTGCTTGAATGTGTAATATTACCTCCATCTCATTGAACACGCTTTGACAAAAGTAAGATTTCATTATCTCAGTGGAATACTTATAAAAAATTCTCCAAGACATTTTAACGTAACAATATGCATTCTTAAACGTAATTAATAAGGACTTAGTATCGTTTTAATATTATCAATTATTTTCTAAGAAAGACCAGAGAATTTGAATACATAGAAAACACTTAAATATATTTAAAACATGTGTTGTTCTCTACAAGTGAAGCTTTGACACTCTCTCAGAATTTTATCTTAGATGGTATTCGTGTATAAAGTTATATCTTAGAATAATTTATTCAACTTGTGAACTCAAACTGTAAGCTATTTTTATTTTAACTTAGCCGAGTGAGATGGAATTCAAAAGGAACGGATCCTTTTTCAATCTGCATATTTTAGTTCTCATTTATAAACAAGATTTAATCAAGCCAAGTTATGTGTTTTCAAATTTAGATAAAAAATTTATCGTACTCTATGTACTGTAACGCACTGTAAACGATAAAGTTTTTTTTATAACAATATTAACCAATGTATTTGCTCCTTATACATATCGAACGCTGATGCGCAATTCATTGTATGGCATGTGATGATAATGATGTACTTGTTACATGTAATCTTTATAATGCATTGAGTGTGTCGGTTAGAGTCGAGATTAGAACTGCATAAAATGAACATATATAAACAAGATTAATCAGTTGACAGACTCATTGCCATTGGTCCAAACAAAGGTGTTCTATTTTAAATGTACGTACTGTATACAATTATTATTAACATAAAAGTTTAACAATTTTTTATTTACTTTCGGCATTTACAATAACAAGTGAATATTACAACAATTTTTTTCGGTCCATCTCTCTGTCTCTGTCTCGTACAAAGTACTACATATTACAAAAAAAATATAATTTCTTCTGCGAATTAACTCAACTTTATACATATACAGAATATTTATATACAAGAAAAGAAATATGAGCCAGTCGACGGGAGAACAAGAAGTCGGTATCGTGAGTTCATTGGAGAGATCCAGACAGAAGGCGAAAAAATTGAAAAAGGACATTAGCATCATTGAAAGAGTACATGTTGCAGGCAAAAAAATTAAAGTATTGGTCGACAAGAAGAAAAAGAAGAGCACCGAACTATCTAAATATCGTTTAACGGTCGGGAAGCTACGGCAACAAATCAAAGATGAAATAAAAGGATTGGTGAAAATTAGACAATCATCGGAATTTAAACAAATTTCGGGACTGGCTTTTCGAAAGACCTACGAATACATTGATCACATTATGTACGATTACTGTGGCGAATTTTGTAACAACTATGACGATTCGAGTTCGACGAACAACAACAATGACAGCAACACAGATGAAAATTCATGTGATGCACCACCAAGGATAACTTCGACTTCATATCATTTCGAAAAGATGTACAAATCTACCATGGAATGTGTCGTTTGTCTGAGCGAAATCGGTGGTATGCAGATGGTGTTTAATAATTCTTGTTCTCATTCGGTCTGTTCTTCTTGCAATGGACAGATAACGAATCCGAGATCATGTCCGACGTGAACTGCCGCCCGGCTGGTACTATTGTAAGGAAGTTGACGATTTCGCCTATGATTTCACCGAGTTCGATGGGGCGGTTCAGAAGAGCATTTGTGATCATTGGCGGAAGACCGACATCGAAGATTTCCATGCGGCCATAAACCTGTGCGTGTTCTGGCGGCCGTCTTGCTCGGTGCCCGTGTACGAGGACGACAACGAAAACATTTACATGAATAAGCATCTCATGCATTTTCATTTGTCGCAAATCTTTAACAGATTCGAAAATCGCACGCTGCCCTGGTTACAATACTCGAAAATATTGTGTGAAATTAGAAATTTTACAACCACCAAATACATGAAAGTGGCATCTGTCGATTATAAACTCCCGCAATGGTTGCGTCTGTTGAATTTGCCCCCAAAATGTCGTTAGGCGCTTGTTTTATTCCAATTTTATTAATTCTATTCATATTTAAAATAATAAAAAAAGTATATAAAATGAAATGTTTAGTTATCGATTGATGGATTGATTGTTTAATTGAAAAATGTTTCCAAAAAAGAATACCCTAAATACTGACGCTCACTTTTAAATGATACTCTTCACTTTTCAACACCGACAAATTGTACAGCTCCAGGAACTGTTGGAAACTAAACTCCCGTCCCGGCGGCTGTTTGTGTAGATTGACCTGATTGTGCAATTCATACATCATGGTGGTGGCGTCTTTGGTTTTAAAAATGGGTATACACAGCGTCCGCAGCGGACCGACCTACCTAATGAGCCGTACTAATAAAATTAATCGTGATAATAATGCAGCATCCTCAGCTTCCATGACTCTGTATACCATTGTCAACGAAAATGACGATGATGATAATGATGATGATGACAACGATTGCCTATCATATGAAAGCGCCGTGGTGAAAAATTATTAGTGATTATAATTTATATAGATTTTAAGTATTCTACTACATGTGTGTGTTAATAAAAATGTACTTTGTAACTATAACATTGTTATGTAGTGTCTGTAGATGTTTGTAGTAATAAAATACTAATTATTATTGTAGTCATGTAAGCAGTTTAATTATATTTTTTTTGTTATTATTACACATAATAAAAGTATAATTGTATGTGTGTGTGATGTGTATGTAAATGAATGTAGTAGGTGTTAATTAAGAACTCTATACTAGTGCATAGTGCATAATATATTCCTGTAAATTGAATGTTGTTGTTATATACACCAAAAAAAAATGAGAATCAGCATCGAAGGTAACATCGGTGTGGGAAAATCGACCCTGTTGAATAGGTTGCAACAACAACACCACCAAGACGTCACCATAAAAAACTGAACCCCTGGACATGTGGATTGATTTGAATGGCACCAATTTGCTAGTTATGGTGACCCGACACGTCGGACATGATCTCGGATTCGTTATCTGTCCATTGCAAGAAGAACAGACCGAATGAGAACAAGAATTATTAAACACCATCTGCATACCACCGATTTCGCTCAGACAAACGACACATTCCATGGTAGATTTGTACATCTTTTCGAAATGATATGAAGTCGAAGTTATCCTTGGTGGTGCATCACATGAATTTTCATCTGTGTTGCTGTCATTGTTGTTGTTCGTCGAACTCGAATCGTCATAGTTGTTACAAAATTCGCCACAGTAATCGTACATAATGTGATCAATGTATTCGTAGGTCTTTCGAAAAGCCAGTCCCGAAATTTGTTTAAATTCCGATGATTGTCTAATTTTCACCAATCCTTTTATTTCATCTTTGATTTGTTGCCGTAGCTTCCCGACCGTTAAACGATATTTAGATAGTTCGGTGCTCTTCTTTTTCTTCTTGTCGACCAATACTTTAATTTTTTTGCCTGCAACATGTACTCTTTCAATGATGCTAATGTCCTTTTTCAATTTTTTCGCCTTCTGTCTGGATCTCTCCAATGAACTCACGATACCGACTTCTTGTTCTCCCGTCGACTGGCTCATATTTCTTTTCTTGTATATAAATATTCTGTATATGTATAAAGTTGAGTTAATTCGCAGAAGAAATTATATTTTTTTTTGTAATATGTAGTACTTTGTACGAGACAGAGACAGAGAGATGGACCGAAAAAAATTGTTGTAATATTCACTTGTTATTGTAAATGCCGAAAGTAAATAAAAAATTGTTAAACTTTTATGTTAATAATAATTGTATACAGTACGTACATTTAAAATAGAACACCTTTGTTTGGACCAATGGCAATGAGTCTGACGGCGGTCAATGTATGTATGTATTTTATTTGTACACAGATATACTTTCCAAGAATAGTTTTGTTTTTATTAAACTAGTTCTTGACTTTTCGATTAATATTTCTTTGTGTATATAAAGATTGCTAACTTAACCTAAGAACTAAAATTTAATTATAACAATAACTTTGAAAAAATAACAACTTCTACATAGCAACTGTTGAGTTATTACACGATTGATATTGACTCTGAAAGTAAAAATTATTTTAAGTGGAGAGGAATCTACTGAATAGATTTTTTTAAAACAGTTAGTTCACCTTATTACAATTACATTATGTTAATTATAGTATTTATTTAGAATACATTATTAACTTTAATTTAAACTTTTGAAATTATATTGAAATAACAAAAAAATATTTACAAAATTTTCACTTAACCAAGTTATAAAAAAGTAAACTGTTTATTTTTTAGGAAAAATGTATTAAGTTTTCTTTAAGGTAGTCTATAAAATGAATACTAAGGGTATGTATTTATATAAAACTACTTATGATTTTCACATACAGGATTCTCTAACGTCACCAAAAATATTCCATCATTTGTAAACATCGAAATGTTGATAAAAATATAAATGTTATTTGACCTAATAAATTTGCTTTATCATCGTTATACAATATACAAATATACTGTTTTACAAAAATACATGATTTATGAGAGCTTTTAACTTCCATGGCTACTATTTTGTGCACCATTTATTTCAAAAGTAATATAATATACAATATGGATTTTATGGTTTAAAGTATCTTATTGTAGTAAACAATACATTTGTAATTGAAATAACTATGGACTTTTTTATAGTGACAAATTAGATATTTAATTGATTGAAAGCATTGCATTTTAAGGTGTGCTGTTTATTTAGGAATTAACAAGAAATAGAAGTAAAGTATAATATTTATACAATAATTATATTAAAATCTCTTTATGTATTTGCTTTGTATAAACAAAATTATAACACAATGTTATTTTAAAAAGGTTTTTTACATTATTTTCCCGCATCAATTCCATATTTTTACCTGATTCGTCAGTATTATAAGACATTGAGAGAACTTTGAAGACTAACACCGGAATTCCTTTGTACATTTATTAACACTAAATCCTTTATTGCTGTTAAACTAATCTAAGTTCTAGTAACACCACCTAGAAGAATTACATGGGCTCTTAGATCACGTCGATCTTTCGTACCAAAATGGCTTTTACTAGAAGACAGTATGATTACAGGACAAAATCCATTCGATCAAACTATTCTGCAGAAGAAAAAAGTTAAATTTTATACGAAACTGCTTACAAATATAGTATTTTACATTTTATTTTATACCAAATGTAAATAAAATGAAAACAGAGTAAATAAATAAATTAAACTTCTTGCTAAGTCAAACTGGAATTTTACCAAGTTATAAACAATGTTGAGAAAAATCCACTAGCGCTGTGTACACGACTTTAAGACATCCAAAACTTTTATCTACTGATGTTGATTCAAAAATTCGTCTTTGAAGTTTTATTTAACAAGAATTTTGAAAATATATCTTGTTATTTAGGTAACATAATAAGATTGCTTCTTATATTATTATATTCAATAACATATTATTTGCTCTACATACGACATCTAGCCCCGATTTATACGAGAGCTTTGTTCTTTAAACACACAAATTACAGACAGTATCAGATACTTTTGTATTTTTGATGGGTATCAAATGTTTGTATACTAATCAATACAAAGTAGCCTTACATTAGATTTATTGTTATAATCACAAAATAGATATTTATTTTTATTACCATACTTTTTATTAACACTTTAAAATAAATTGTTTCATCTTTTTCATACAATCATTCACAATAAGTTTAGATAAATCATTATAATAAATTTTATGCACTAAAAAGTTATAATTATGATATATTTTTTTTATAACGTCTACGATATAAACAATTAAAAATACAATCGACTACCCTCATAAACCTCAAGTGGTACACTTACCAATGAAAAGTAATTCATTTTTATTTATATAGTATCTCGGTTAACCTAAATTCAACACAAAAGGGCTTAGTGGATAATGCGTTGATTTTCCACTTTTCTCCTTTAAAAAGCTTAAGACTCTAGTGCTGAGGCTTTCGAGGACTTTATCATAGTTATATCTACCGGATGAATGGGACTAAGTGTCCTCGTCGGGTTAAAACTGAATTTTTATGCATAAAGCTTGTCTTTAAAAATGTTCTACGATGTATATACCTGAGTGTTTTAACTCAGCTTTATGTAAGGAAGGTTAACAATATTTATAGCTGATTATACAAACCAAATGTTATGTTAGCCTTTCACTATATATAAGGCCATAATTTGGACCTTAATTCACCACTACATATCAATGTGTATAAGTAACTTTTGATCTAAGACTATCTTTCAGTATCAAAAGTTTCACCAAACAACAATCCAATACAATCAACACCAAGAACCGTCTAACAATGGCCAGTACTGTAACCACAAGATCTAATAGTTGTCTCCCGTTATACAAGCACTGATTGTTATTTAAAATTATTTATTATCCCACGTCACATATTTAGTAATAAACTCTTTAAAATTTATACAACAAAAAAACCTTTTTCCCTTTCAAAGAAAAGATAATCTCTTGACGTACAACAATGTTATTACAGATTCATGTATTCGAGAGTATTCATGGAATTGTTTAAATAGCTATATACTTATAATTAATTTTATAGCCATTTCATTTATTATTTACATATTCAAACGATGTAACATTATTTAATCTATAAGGAAATGAAATATGATCTTCACGCAGTTCCTTAACCATGTATCTATTATAGAACCAAACTATACTTCAACTTATTTTGCTTAGTTATACACAGCATCATGTTGCAATCTTTAAGAACTCTTACTAACTCTTCTTCGTGTATAACATAAGTACGATGTATATAAAATTCGTAGAATTATGAATCAACACTTAAATTAACACTAGTTGGCTCCGAACTTAAATCCTCACAAGTATCGCTTATAGTTGTTTTATTAACTCAGTCATCGTGTTCGGACTTAAATCAGGGTTTAAGCCCTCATTACAACGGACACATCATGTATAAGATTAGATTATATTAGCTTAATACTGCTCGTGTTAATGAATTTTTCATATTTCTTTCCATATTTTCTATTTGAATTTTAATGTAAGTTTAAGCTCAACATTTCTTTAATGTTGAAAATATAATGACATGAATAAATTATGAATAAACAAGACGAAATAAAAAACAAACTGAACATATAATATTTAGTTTTTACAAAAATAAAATGTTACAGTCCAAAAGTATAAGATACAATTCTTCGTGAGTTTAAAAGGTTTGAAGGGTCTGTTGTATTACTTAAAAAAATGTTACATAAGAAAGCCATAAAAAGAAATATATTTAAGTAAGTCGACAACTTTCACGTCCACGTATTGTGTTTCTTGTCTAAATTTTTCCCCCAGATCTTTTCCTCTCTCTTGGCAATTTACTCCCACATTGTTCTTTAACTGGATGCATAAATTTACTCGTAAAAATATTACGATAGGGTCGCTTTCAAAACACTTTACAGCCTTTTTATACATTGGAAACATTGAGGTGATACGAGGCTTTTGTATGTAATTTTTTTATATAGTCATAAAATTTATATTAAACAAATGTCTCTGATGATTACGCAAAGTAGCCTGTATAAAAAACAAGAGAATACACAAAGCGTTAATGGCAGAAAATCAATATTAAGAAAGGATTAAACAATGACGAGGCGAAGTCGAAAGCAATTAAAAACTCCACGATATCTTCTATCGCTAACTTTGCTGTGATCATTTAAGAAATGGAATTTTCCTGTACAAGAAGTATGAAAAGTAATTAGAATTTCTTGCAATAGAAAAGCATTTTATTTTCTATAGAAATTGTTTAACAAAATACTCATAAAAGCAATGCATTATTTTTATTGTATGGGCATACCTATTTTCCTGCAAGATCCTAAATATATTATAAATTGATATTTTTCAATAAAATAGGTAAATGTAAATAATTGAATACTACTGTTAAACATTGTTTAGTAGTTTTGCTCGAATGAATATGTATAATTATATTGTAATCTAATATATAAAATTTATTTCATTTAAAAAGTATACGGTACAAACACAAATTTCGAAGATTGTTCAACCAGTTACTCTTTGGTGCTTTCTAAATAGCAGAATACACCATTAACTAGGATTGAGTTATATATACATAGATTTACAATGAAATGTAAATGAGCATTTTTTTACGTAAACATACACTAAAATCTGCAAAAATAATCCTAAAGATAATAGGATGATTTTTAAATACATCTACCTACATATAGGTAATATGTATCGTAGGTTGATTGTTTAATGTTGACTAGAAATTCTTGAGTGAAGTGTAATCACAGGATTAGTGAAAATGTTTGTTATGGTTAATGTCGTCCAAGTATAAGGAAGAAGATAGAATAATTTTTCTTAATGCATATCAAAACAAAACGTAACAGGGATCATTAAATATTATGATTGCGAGGGATAATTGCTATTTTTATGTGGCAATGAGAAAACAGAAGCTTATCTAAATTGCTGGCCTTACAGCGTGATCCGGCGACCCGAAAATCGGGACGACGTCGACTTTACAAATGGCTTTAAAGACTACCTGAAATTTCCCTTAAGCTAGGACCAGTTACTAGTTTTCAG